GGCTGGCCAAAGTCAAGTCGAAGCCGATGGACCGTGACCTCAACATCCGTGCATCTTGCACTAAGCACGAAGAGGCATGACTGTTTTTTACAATGTGAAATATTTGACTCGTAGGCAATATTTGACTCGTAGGCATGAGCATTTCTGCTGCGATTGGAATCCTGCCCACGTTTATGCATTCCTTGTTTATTTTCTGATTGTATTATGTTAACACAACACTTTGCAATTCTCCTATTTTACAACTTGACTTAAAGCTTTCGTGACTGCATGAATTCATATTCTTTGGGTCTTTAGGTAAACTCACGTAGATAGGGTTTTCTTTTTAACCTATCTACGTGACTTTACCGAAAGACCCAAAGAATATCCTATTTTACACTTCATATCAATTGAAAATCTTTACCATTTGAATGTTCAGATCATGTCGTATTAACACACCATCGGTAGTATTAAAGATTGTAAAGTTCCGAGTGCGCTTTATATGCGAAATTTTCTCATAAGAAATTAAAACCCCCCACTGGGGAAATCTTAAGGTTTGAAAATTAGCAGAGGCAAGGGTAGTTTTAACCAGACTACATTTTCTGCAGTGGGGAACATATATCTACTGTTTGGGTTAACAGCCATGGTGTTGATGCAAGAAGGCTGTAGACTATCCAGTGTGGGCCAGAACTTGGGTAACATTCTCATTTGAATACAGTTGAATGCCCCCATTTGCAACCTGACATTTGCAGACCGATGCCAAGCACCAAACCATATGTATTACTGGGTTGAGATGTATCCTGAGCAGAACCAACGTATCCTTCCCTCTCAACCAATACAGGTCCCTGAAAAAAAGCGTTAAAACATTTTTAACTTGTTTCTGAGATATCACTCGCTAAGGTGTTATCTGTGGCTCACGATCGAACTCCATTTTCAAGATTCATAGCGCACTGTGCGAACCACTATACCTTCCTCTCACAAGTATAAACACATATATTTCAAGAACAGGGAAGTAAAGGGAGATAAAAAGAAATGATTTACTCTGTTTTCCTATAAATTGGAGAAATGGTTTTATTTACAAGAAAATAAGTATTTTTTTGTTTGAGTATATCTAAATCTATAAGTGAGGTTTACAAAGAGGCACACAACAATGTGTTCCCCCACGGTGTGTCATCATTCGCGAAGAGCTGTGATTTAATTGAGGAACGGAATATTTATTTACAATTGTTCGCCAGAGCAGGACATTGTGTGCTGGGGTCATGGCCAAGTTTTGAAAAATTATCTACACATTACTGCGTTTGGAATATTCATAGCAATTATGGCATCTGACGGCAAAAACTTGGCAGGGCCCTCTTTGAAAGAGTAACGAGACACAGGCTTTTCTGTGCAAACAAGAAAAAATGTGATAAAAGAAAATAATCCCAATATAAACTACATACTCATAGTAAAAAAATAACATAACTATGACAACTGTCATTTATTATTCCTGTGCTTCTATGTGTATTGCCCACTTAGTGGGGAGCGGTAGTGTAGCTGTTAGCACGCGGCGCTACGAACCTGGCCACCCGAGTTCGATTCCCACTCATGGCCAAAATCAGTGACAATTATCTGAACCGGTCCTGGGCCTCCCCTAGGTTGACTTAGCCTCAAATGAGTACCCGGTGCAGTGTGTAAACATCGCCACTGGGAAGGCAAAGGCGGCTGGGCGTGGTGCTGACCACCCACCCCCTCGTGTGCCATTCTTGCCTTCATAGGTGCTTGCTAACAGCACTTGCCCCAACCGTCTGTTACAGGCTATACGGGGGATCCTTATTGCCCACTTAATCATTTAATCGCTGGATGAAGACCTCATGCTGTACAAGTAATGAGGGTTATTTGACCATACTTCACCAAGCTGGTCAATGAGGATTGGTGAAGGTAGGGGGCAGAGCAGAGCAACAAAACATGTGTCCATACTATTTTCCTTCTGTTGCCCACAACAGCTCTGTCCTTGTATGCGTGGTGGTCATCCACTCACTGTCCAGACTCAACTCTGCTCAGCTTTCAAAGTCGGTGCTTTTCTTACATGCAAAGTGCATGCAAATGTTTAACAAATAAACCATAATAGCTGTTGAATTTTGGTCACCTGATATATCACGGTGAATCGTTTTGTTGACCAACTACATATGTAATGTGCTTGCTTTGCCATTCCTAATTAGCAAAGCTGCATAAGCTGAATGGGAATTTCTGTAATGTTTTAATTTGTCCAAATTTCGTTCCATGTGTGCTCGAGCTCAGATTACTTGAGCTGATGAGGTGCACATTTAGAAACATGCGTTTATAGAGTATTTGCCCACAATAAATGTCTACATGATAAGCCACTTAGTTGAGCTATCATTTGTGGCCAGGTCACTTCTGAAAAAGAGCTATATAGCTCAGTGGGTCTTACTTGGTAAAATAACAATTGTAGTTTAAATTTTTTTTTGAGCTCAGCACCTCTCTTAACAAGGGCGACCACAGACCAAGACCGTCAACAGTGGCGGCAGTTACAGGAGATTGCAGGGAGGGAATGTGCAAACTACTGAGAAAAAACGTAAACTTATTTACACTAAACACACGCCAGCACTTACTGCAAACAGGGTAACCAATAATGCTTAAAAAATTTCAATCTGTCGAAAATCATGTTACGAACGTATGCCAATAATCTGTATAATCACCATAATGGCGTGAGACAAAGTATATATGTCAGAGCAAAGCAACCAACAGTGTTAATGAAGGAACCACATGACTTCATATCACAATACTGCCGTGAGATCCCTTTAAATTACCTTTGTTTATCCACGCACTGAGCCCACTGTTGCACGGCAGTTCAGCCAATATATATTAAATTCTAAGAGCTGGAATTTATTCCAAATTTAATGTCTTGGGTTTTTCTGGAGTCATTGCTGACAACCTGGATTAATTATGGGTGGCTGACACTTGGATTCAAAGCCAAGTAGTCAGCAGGGCTGACTCATTGTCCTGAGCTATCTGGCCATGTCAAATTCTGTCATTTTGATCGTTGGATATTGGAAGCTTAGAGTTGCCTGGCTTTTTGGGGCCATTGGATGCTTCGGAATTTTTAAAAGGCAAGTTATGGATTTTGAAGAATATTTACGTGCCAGATTGTTGGCTGGCCACATAATTTAGTGTGGCTCGGGACTTGGTAACATATTGCATCCCTGGCAGGATCACTGGACGTCACATTGCAACTTTTAAAGAATAAGGGCCATATATCAGCTCATTGGCTGCTTATCGCAGGTTCAATCACTCTCAGCTGGGCAGAACAGGATGCGTGCAGCTGCGTTTGGTTTTCTTGGACACGTTTGAGGCAGCAGAATCCCACAGACCAGGTCGGTTCAGTCTCTAACTCGAATTTAGTTTTCACATTTACTAACATTTAGTGTAAAATGTTTTTTTTGTTTTAGTGACTATTTAAATGTGTTTAATGAGTGCTGCTGTTGGCAACGCGATGTTTGAATATGGTGTTTGTTCAGGATGAATCAGGTTTATTATCCCATGGTTCCAACACCAATGTGTTTCAAATATAATTTTGAGATTACTGTTTTTTTTTAATGAAATGTTCATGTCATCATGTGATGCATGGTAAATTGAGCAAGGTATTCTGCCATATGGTAGTGTCATGTCACTTTGTTAAATAACCTTGTCTGTATTTTAACATCATGGGTAAGTGAATCCTCTTTTTATGCCTATATCCTTCGGCCGTGTAGAGAAGGTTGGAACTGCTTTCTCTAAGTTCAAAGGGCTGTATCTCACTTTAATTGAAAGTCTTATTCTGGTTTGTTGTCACATGCATTATCACTGCTTTTAGTAAAAAGAGAGACATAAAAGCGGCAGTGTAAAAACCTGAAATTTATTCAGGAATGAGTTTCGTATGCATGCTGAACTTTCGCACTGTACGTAGCCAACCATGCTAATCGGAGGTGCGCACGAAGGACAACAAACTGAACACAAAAAGCTGTTCTGAAGAAATTAGCTTTCAATCTCCATTTAAAAGTGCTTCTTAATATTGGAGGGCCGAGTGTTCCAGACGACCGCAGAACCGCATCTTAAAGTGTGCGATGCAGTGACCGTCTTTGTTCGATGGTAAGCCCAGTTCACTGCAAGGATGACCAGAGTTTGCGTGATGGTCTATGCTCCTTAACGAGAAAAAAAATACTTTGTTAACACCTACTTTTATATTGTATTAGTGACGTATGCCATGCTTACTTTTCAAAGTCTGTTCTTGAACAATAACACAGACTGAGAGTTGATTAAAAAAAGAGTGCATTCACGCACTCTGATATATGCGTGTTTATTTCTATTCTTTTTTATGGAATAGTCAAGTGGAAGTTGTTAACATTGAAAGGAAAATTCACAAAACTGCCTGTATTTGAATAAAATGCCGATTCTGCTCTCAACACAAAGAATCGTTGACAGTAACCTTGAAGTAGTTCATCATTTGTATTAATATTGCTCTCTCAACTAATCATGTTTATATTCATGTGCATATTTATACATGAGATGGGCGTGCATTACAATCCACTTAGTGGAGATACATTGTGTATATTTACATGTGCCATAATATTATATATCTCATCACACTATATGAGAACAAAAATTTTACTGGCTGGATTTATGCCTGGAATCCTGGCTGGTGAGAAAGTTGCACGTGCATTGTGCTGACATCACGCCCCCCCCGAACTCTCCATCCCCGTCATGGATCCCGCGCAATTGAGGCAGAGTGAAAGAGGAGATATTTGAGGGAGTGAGACAGAGGAGGAAGGAAGAGATGGAGAGGAGAGGGTGGGGGGGTGAGTGAAACGGCATTCAAGGGAGAAGAGAGCAAAATAGAAAGAGGAGAGTGAAGGCAAGTGGTAGGGAGAATTCTGAAGAAGCAACGGAGGTTTGAGATGGGAAAGGGAGAGCTGGGAATAAGGAGAGCGAGGGTGAGAGGTGAGTACGATACAGGGAGAGAGATGGGGGGAGGGAAGTGGGTGAGATACAGTGGAGCGGGAAGAGGAATATAGAGAGGGGAGAAGTAAAATGGGGCAGGAATACAGAAACATTAACAGAGACGAAACGAGAAAATGATCTAAGAAGACAAGAGAAAGGTGGAGAGGGATAGGGCTGTATAAATTCAACGTTTTGCTGGCTGGCTGGCTGAGGGATGGGCAGACGGTCACATCCAAAGGACGCGTAGGTTTCTGATGTCAACAAACATTTATTTTCTAAATGCTGAAGAAGGAAATAGTTGCATCTTGCAGTTGCAGGTCTGAGGGTGAGAGAGTTTAAGTCGCTTATTTGACAGGTCTTGGAATTTGCACGGCACAATAAATAATTCACGTAATTGTAGATGATATAAGTAACGTATGTATGTTGAATTCCTTTGCACCGTATGTAGCCAACCATGCTAATCGGAGGTGCACAACAAAATATATAAGCAGACGGTTCACCTTCCCGTATCTGTCCCTGCACATGCGAATAAAGTAGTCTTTACACATCCCATCAGTCACACGGCCTTCTGGGGGGTACATCATTGTACCACCGTTGGTTCAAGAAAGTTTGACGGCTGATGACACTGTCCAATCTGGTCTCCAATTTGCTTGTATTAAACCAACGCTGCTGAAATTGTGCACTTTCAAAAGGCCGTGTGGCTGGTGGGTTTTGTAAAAATAAAATACTTTTTAAGTGAAGGGACAGATATGGGAACGAGGCATATTGGCTGCTACTTATTAATTTGGTGTTTGAATTATGGTGGCTGAGATATACTAGTACATTTACTCGTGTGGTGATAGCTCAAGTTGTCCTTGATGGAAATAGCTTCACCACTGTCTCTGCTCTTGGGCGTGCAGTTTAATTTCAGGAATGCAGTATCTTGACAATATTTGCACTTTTTTAATATGCCTGTCTGCATATCAGTGTATACTGTGTAAGTGGAAGCACTGGAAAATTTTCTTACACACATTGATATATTGGCATACCGACAGGTCTCAATCCACACCCCCATGCCCCTCTGCACAAAGAGTACAGTGGCTGGATACAGTGCGGGTTTTTTGTTGAAGGAAGTGGTGTGTGCACGTGATGTTTACAACTCCACGTTAGTCCGAGGCTGAGCGAAGTTTGGTATCTCACTCCCACAAGGCGAGAGCCACTATAAACCATGCCCACACTTGCAGCGCCTGTCTGACGCTTAAATCACTTGCCGCCGGTACACCTGCGGAATAGTTTTTGCAGGCGGGGACAGCCGGGAACGGATATAGCTCAGCTCGCCATGGAACACTTTCTGAACACAGTCATCGGACGCACCGCCGAGTTTTTTCAAAACTCCGAGGTTGAGTTCATCGACGTGGACCAAGAAGGGGACAAGGCATGGACGAGTCCCCCCAGCCCCACAGACTCGCCAAAGCCCCCAGACTCGCCCCGTGCCGCGCTCACTACGTGGATTCCGCTCGCCGCGTTGTTCAGCAGCAACAGCAGCAGCAAGAGAGATGAATTGGAGCCGATCGTGGAGGAGGAAAGCTGCGTTGGGGCAAAGGGGCATGATGGCGTTTGCACCCAGGAGCAGCCGCCTCTGCAGTTGGCCCCCCGTGCCTCTGTGGTTGAACTTCAACCCGGTGTCCGGCAGTATCATTATGGACCTCTCAAATATGATTATGACTCGCCTGAAGGTAAATGTTTTTTTTGTGCTTTATTTTACCAGGCAAGGCCCACAGAGATGTATAGCTATTTTTTTCACAAGTGACCTGGCCACTAATTATAGCTCAACGAAGAGGCTTATCGTATTGAAATGTATAGCGGCCAAATACTCTAAAACGCATGTTTCTGAATGTGGAGGGAAAAACCGGCGGACCCGGAGATAAATTAACGCGACCACGGGGAGAACATGTGAACAGCAAAAATACAGGTGTCAGGGTCGGGCTCGAACCTATGCCCTTCTGTATATCAGGCGAGGTAGTTGACATCTCGCCCCCACCTCCCCCCAACACGAGTTGGGTTATAAAGTTAATATTTGGTCGAATGTTAGATAGAGATCTACTCTGCTCGTAAGTTGTGTATATTTCCTCAATGGGTGGGCGGACGCACATGAGTGTGGAAACATTATTTGTTAAATGTGCACAGGTCAGACGAGTGCGTGTAAGCTTTTCAAGTCGGATGTAATTGCAATTACATTTTCTCTTAATGCCTTTCGTCTCGATAAATTTTGAGGCACATGGAAATTTGTGCTCCATTCTACAAAATCCCACCAGTCGCTGTGACCTCATCAAACTACTCTTCCAATATTTGAATGCAAGGGGTGACTATGTTACGTGAAAATGTATTCACGAACTTTTGTGTATTCACTTGCAAATGACACGTTCATACAAATTTGCATTTCTGAATGCGTACTGGTGTAAACCAGTTTGGTAGAGACGAGATTCAAATGTTGACAAAATAGCCTGAGCATATCTTGGCCATGTGCTCATTATTGGCAGTTGACACATGAATGTTTTGGTCAAAATGTTACAACAACAAAAACATTGGCTAACATGTAAATTGGTCCCTATAAATGCGTACATAATATTACGTATTCATATAGTGAATTACTCCAGAAGGTCAATTGAAATGTATAAACCTACTGAATTTGTAAAAATAAATAAGAGTGTGTTATTAACACTCTTGCAAAAGCAAATAAACAAAAGTTTAACGTTTTGGGCAATGGCCCTATTTAAAGAACGCCATTTGTTCAAATTTTTATCAAATATATTTCATGAACAAATGTATATCTTTTTTGTATTTTATGTGGTTATTGAACGTGTTGAGTTAACCATCGTGTGATCCCTTTAATTGAAATGTATAAACCTACTGAATTTGTAAAAATAAATAAGAGTGTGTTATTAACACTCTTGCAAAAGCAAATAAACAAAAGTCTAATGTTTTGGGCAATGGCCCTATTTAAAGAACGCCATTTGTTCAAATTTTTATCAAATATATTTCATGAACAAATGTATATCTTTTTTGTATTTTATGTGGTTATTGAACGTGTTGAGTTAACCATCGTGTGATCCCTTTAACGACAGTTCTAAAATACGTTGATAAAATTATCTTTGATGTTCAGCAAAATTGTCTAATGTTTTTGGGACTGCTCAGTGAAAACCTAAAACTAGTCAAAATCTTAATATCCAAAATAATCAATGTTATACAAGTGTTGTCATATGTAGTTGATGTAATAAAAAAACGTACAGCATCTGAAATTGCAGTCTAACATGGTGTGTGCATAGCACAGTAAAACGTGCTGCACCTTGATATCAATGTTTGATGTGTTTCGTACGGTTTGCTTGTGCCGCACTTGATGAACAAACAGCCTCGTTCGCATCATTTTTAAACACCAAATTAATCGTCATATTTAATGTTTTCGGGTCTCCAAACTTCAGACGGATGCGAAGGTAGCCAAGTGTTAAATGTTTTATAACTTTCAGAATAAATAATATGACCGCAACCACAAAAAAGTTCCACGATGTTAAGTATAACTTTAGGCAGAAGTGTGTCTGGCCAAGTACATGCGTCATGTTTGGTTATATATTAATTCTAATATTGCTAAATAATGTATAACCTTTTGTTCAATCAATTGCTGGATAAAAGGGTTGCCATACCTTGGCACGGTGTCGAGATATTAACTACCTCGCCTGGTATGCAGGAGGTCGTGGGTTCGATCCCGACCCTGATGCCTGTATATTTGTGTGTGTCTCTCCCCATTTTCGTGTGGATTTTCTCCAGGTCCCTAGTTTTTCCCTCCACATTTAGATTCAACATCATGCGTTTTAGAGTATTTGGCTACTATAAATTTCCACTTGTTAAGCCACTTTATTGGGCTATAGTTTATGGCCAGGTCACTTCTGAAAAAGAGCTATATAGCTCAATAGGCATTACCTGGTAAAATAAAAATATATATAAAAAGTTGTTTTATCATAACCTACCACAATTGCAGATTGGTGGTTCATATGTCACTTGCCAATGATGTTAGGAATTGAACTTGGGTAACTGGCTTCATTGTGCAGTGTACTACCAACTGAACCCCCACTCTCATGTACAATATATGCAGACCCCAACACAGTTCACAGTGTGCACAGGTGACGTTTATGATTTTGTGATGGTTACAGCACGTGAACTGGCTCCAACCACATCGTAAAACCAGTTAGCTTGCAACTTTATTTTGGCAATTACAGCCAGGCATGTGCTGCAGTTTATGATGGAGAAGCAAATCACTTTGCTACCATTATTGGCATGAAATGTATGTCTGCATACAGTAGCAGCAGCAGCAGCATTGTTAACATTCAATGAGCGGAATGTACTTTGCTTTCAACAGTTATCTCAGCATGTGTAAATAGGCATCTAAATAGTTGTAGAAACATTTTTATTGAAACAGTTGTATTTTATGATTGACAAAAACCTTTACGTTTGTAATAACATGTCAGTACAATGTCTGGTAGATTAAAGTCGTGCAAGGTCGAAGCAAAAGAGTGATTGAGTAAGGCTGCAGTACCCTTCATCATGCACAAATTTCCTGTTTTCCTGATATGATCGCGAGTCATGTGTTGTCACTCAACCTAATGGAGGCAGAGCCAACGAGTCTGCAGGGCTCCCGCGTGTCATTGTCAGTCTTTTTTAACAATCTGTTTCAAGTCTCCGTATGCTGATAATGCCACCTGGTGTGTGCTTGCAATGTATCTCACTTCCCACCTGTTCCCCTCTATGATAATCATTTCCTTTTTGGCGTTCCACTGAGTGGACTTTCCGGCATATGGCCTGATATGTTGATCCCTTTGAATCACCGTTCGTGTAATGCCTTTTGGCCAAATTAAGTGTGTGGGTGATACGCCAGCCTCCACTGTGTACAGTGATAAGTCTTTGGCACGAGATGAAGTGTCGTCGGTGAAATGTCTTTACCAAGAGCTAAACCAGAATATAAATGCAGCCGTTGCTTTTGTCATTTAACCTCTGGTCACATCACTATGAATCTGCAATCATGCAATGTTGCAGTTATCAATTCCCTATGGGCGGAAAAGTAGTGCAGTGGTAACACTCGTGCCTTACAGCACCTCCGTTTAGCACGGTTGGCTGCATAGGGTACGAAAGAAGTTCAAAATACAGCAAGAAGGGTTTGATTCCCAACTCAGGTGCTGCACTGTGGAGTTTCTATATCCAAGTTCTCTGATTTCCTCCCATGGTAAAAAAAAAAACATACAATGTAACTGGTATTGGCCAAACATCCCAATGCTGAAACATTACCTACAAATTACTCATTCGGGATTACATTTTGGATTACAACGATGCCCCTCGGTATATAAATCTGGCAGGGTCCTTCTGACAAAGTTTTGAGACTCTCTGCAGCTCTCCTGGGTAAACAAACACACTTTTATATTTGCAAAGGAGCTTTTATCTATATAAAAGCTGTCTTGTTTAAGCATTTTTATATTCGCCTATGTTCACGTGAATTTTTCAGGCCCCTTTTTCCTCTCTACATGCCCAGCCCTGATGACTTATTTTAATGGCCTTAACACCCAACAAGAAGACCCTGGCACTGCTGAATAATATTTACATTTTAACAGCGTGATTACATTAATACAATTTGGCCAGCAGATAGTCCATTGGGAGTTTTTTTTGTTATTGTGACGCTATAAGATAATTTATACTAACTCATCGCCTCATCATTGCCCTTGTTTTACCACAAGATTTGTTTGACCCAAAGCAAGATTTAATTGCACGTGGGCTGTTACACATATATTAGCCACTGTGCGTCGCTAATAAATAAACCATTTATGCTATATTGAGCATGTAATTACTTTTTAACGCACAAAACGTTTGCTCAAGATTATAGTGCTGCTGACTAAAGAACCATGCAAAACTTTCTGCCAAATGTATTTCGCAAAAACTGAAGACTTAAGTTTCTTCTATTCAGTCTTCCACTTTTAATTGAGGGGTTTTATTTCCTGAATGATTAAAGTCCTTATATATGAGCTGGTTCATGTACGTTTATACCGTATTTCAAATCCAAATAAATGATAATCGCAATCTGTCAATATACTGTTGGATGAAGGCTTCCCCACGCAGTATCGGTCTTGGGGGTTGTTTGACCATACTGCACCATGCCGGTTGATGGACGTTGGTGAAAGGTGTGCTCATGACTGCTTAAGATGACACTAGCAATTGATGAGAAAATCTTTGTGGCTGAGAAAATGGTACTCAGGTGGCCAGGTTCATTGTATATTGGACTAACATCGTTTATGCTTCATCATCCGTCTTTAACGTGTAATTTAAGATGCTTATAAATTTTGCAGGCACACAATGTTCTGCAATGCATCAGTATAAATCCAGAGACAAATAAGCATTGTAAGTCGTTGAATTCTGAAATAAACCACTGAGCACGCTATTCTAATCCTTGAACAAAGAGCAGATGCGTGTGGGGCAGATCCCTCCCACTGTAAAATATCTCATTTTAAGCTGCTATGATTGTAGCCTTGATTGCCATTTGTCCAGTAATGATTCATATGCAGACATCACCGCATCGTCAATTGATTGGGCCATCTCGTATTCCCCACACTTTCCCCCTGGCAAAACAATCAAAATATCCTGAATTCCCCATTTGTTGTGTTTTATATATATAAAATCGTTGTGGTACACAATTGGAGAAATTTACTGATGGAATTGATTGTGTATGTTTGCACACTATTGCGTCTGATTCAACATAATATTACATTTCCCTTACCCCCCCCCCCCTTATCGCTTGTCTTTTGTGGGTTTTTTTTCTGAGTTGCAGACACAGGCCAGAAGAAGTCAGGCGAACGAAAAGAAAGAAGAATGTCCTTCCAGAAGCCCAAAGGCATGATGGAGTACACGGTAATGAAGACGTTGACTGAGATGTTAGAGTCAACTTCCTCAAATTCCGCGGAAATGATAAAAGGGGGAAACAAACCAGGATGAAGGCATAGTCTCTGCGTGTTCAACTTTGACCCGCATATCGGTTGCAGACACAAACCCATTGTGGGTGCTATAAACACTTCCACTTGTCTCCAAATAAACATAGTGTATTGGACAATTGACTTCCGTGACATTTGTCATGCAGCACAATTCATGTACGCAAACTTTGGACCAGTTTATTCAACCTTTGGGTCTCGTCATCAGAGTTGGGCTGTAAGCAAATGCTTTTGGGTTACCAGATGCTATTTGCAAGTGGACTTCATCTTCACAATGCAGTCCTGTTCAGAATGAACAACAATGTTGGATGATAACGTAATTTTGTGCCGTTGTGGAGGATTTTGGGTTATACAATAATACGGCTTCGTGTTTAAATATGATAGTTTCTTTAGTCCAACAGCCTATGGGCACTCCAAAACAACGCAAAAATATTTGACCACAAAGCCTGATTTTGTTACGAACCATACGCTTCACGACAGCACGTAATGAGGTGCTGTCGCTGTGATTCTCTGTATGACTCAGTAAGCAGTGCTGTTTTATATTGTTTTTCTATTGCCATTTTGGGTAATGGTGTTTTGTTTTTGTACTGTTTTCTACTTCGCTTTAATCATCTGTTGTTAGCACGCAATTGAACGTACTTCAACAAACGTTCCACCAAATGGAGAAAGTGGTCTGGTAAAAACGTCTGAAAATTATTTCTTATTTATATCTTTTAGAAGAAAGATGCCTGCTAATTTGAAGCCTTTTTTTATATATATAGCATTCATTACAAAAGTTATATATCAAGCCCATCTCAGGACGGGTCTTAAAGAGGTCTCCGCTCTATTTGCTTTGTGTTTCACGCCGGTTTAATTTTGTCCCCTATGCAGGCAGGTGCCCAGGATACTCTTAACAGCATTGCTCTCAAATTCGACACCACTCCTAATGAGCTGGTACAACTCAACAAACTTTTTTCACGCATGATAGTTCCCGGACAGGTAAGCAATTCTCGCAAATCTCGCAAATCCCCTCCACACTAAGCCTACGAATCATTCTGAAGAGCGCACAATACATATCATACACATTTGTAATTTTCCGTTCAACTTCATTTTAAGATGTACATTTCCAGCTCGTGAATCCTGCTGAATAACAATGGTTGCCGATGCATATCAGTGGAAAATACGTCGTTTAAGGTGGTCTCTCGTTTAAATTCAAATTGTGTTGCAATTCTGCTCGGAAAAACACATCAGTGCTGCCAACAGGATGCGAGTTTGGGCACATGTGAGTAGTCCCTCACCTGCCGTTCTGTAAGGGGGGCATGTCCAAACATTTGTGAACGTTATTCATGATTCTCACTGACCTATATTTAATCAATAGCATAACGTTTTTCACTGACAGCACTTTTAATGAGTGACAGTAACCTTGAGACTTGTCTTGGCTATAAGCAGTTGGCTAAATACGTGTATTTCTGAAAGCAACAGTGAGTTTGTATTTCCCGTTCGAACTCGTGTATGTGCCACATATGTGTTTGACATTGTAGGGATGTTTAGAAAACAATATCTTATTTATATTATCATCATGTTTGTAATAGTTTCACGCCTGAAAATCTTGTTTTGTTTATGGTTGTCAGCGGAGATGGTACCAGTACTTACAAAGACATAGATCCCCCGTATAGCCTTAACAGAGTTTAGGGGCAAGTGTTAGCGATCGCCTATGAAAGCCGGCATGGTACACGAGGGGGTGGGTGACCAGCACCACTAGCTCTCACATGCACACTCACTGCGTACATGTGTGTATGATCGTTTCTCTGTTTATCAGATGCTGTACTGTCCAGACCCAGACTATATGTCCAGCGAAGGGAGTTCCCCATCTGTGAGTCCTGTCAGCCCGCTGTCTCCTACGTCTTCAGAGGCCGAGTTTGAGAAACTGCAGGTATTAACACAGGGGTTGAAGAGGCCGGCGTTTGTTTCAAGTTATATTTACGCCGTGATCTACGCACGCAGTTAAGCCATTTGTGTACACGCGCAACATTGCCATGGACATCCCCGGCTTGCCCGAAGAACAGTGGTCACAAATAAGCCTCAAGTCAAACGCGATTGATTTTGCAAAAAAAAACACTCAATACGTCCAGCTTTAACTTCGCCTGTTGTCGCGACTGCGAGCGAACCCTCGCCGGCAATTTGTGCGACACGCGCGCTCTCGCTCACTCTCACGCCGCTCTTGCGGCTGGGCCTTCGCCACACAGCTCTTGCGCTCGAAACCGACCGCCCTCGCCTGCCCTTTCCAGGACATGGAGCCAGCGACGCAGCGGCCGTCGGAGAGGCCCGCGCCCGCGACGTCATCGCCCAATCCTGCCCGGTCGGCTCGCGTTGTCTCGTCCACGTCGGAGGAGGAGGAAGCGCTGAGCGAGCGCTTCCTCAAGATCAACTGCAAGTACATCACCAACGGAAAGGTGATGCGCTGCCCGGACCGAAGCGTGCACGGTTTGCGTTTGGCGCGTGAAGATGATCGCTTCTTATGATCGTGATGCATGTATGTGCGTGCACTCGTGTCACATGGGAAATCATCCACTTGGTCTCTGGCAAATTGTGTTCAGGGTTTTGTAGCAGCTGTGACGACACACGCTTGTTGTAGGGTCTGTACCTGTGGAAAGTGTGCTGCGAACCAATAGGCTGCATAGCTTACAGTGAGGGAAAAAAAGTATTTGATCCCCTGCTGATTTTGTACGTTTGCCCACTGACAAAGAAATGATCAGTCTATAATTTTAATGTTAGGTTTATTTGAACAGTGAGAGACAGAATAACAACAAAAAAATCCAGAAAAACGCATGTCAAAAATGTTATAAATAGATTTGCATTTTAATGAGGGAAATAAGTATTTGACCCCCTCTCAATCAGAAAGATTTCTGGCTCCCAGGTGTCTTTTATACAGGCAACGAGCTGAGATTAGTAGCACACTCTTAAAGGGAGTGCTCCTAATCTCAGCTTGTTACCTGTATAAAAGACACCTGTCCACAGAAGCAATCAATCAATCAGATTCCAAACTCTCCACCATGACCAAGACCAAAGAGCTCTCCAAGGATGTCAGGGACAAGATTGTAGACCTACACAAGGCTGGAATGGGCTACAAGACCATTTCCAAGCAGCTTGGTGAGAAGGTGACAACAGTTGGTGCGATTATTCGCAAATGGAAGAAACACAAAAGAACTGTCAATCTCCCTCGGCCTGGGGCTCCATGCAAGATTTCACCTCGTGGAGTTGCAATGATCATGAGAACGCTGAGGAATCAGCCCAGAACTACACGGGAAGATCTTGTCAATGATCTCAAGGCAGCTGGGACCATAGTCACCAAGAAAACAATTGGTAACACACTACGCCGTGAAGGACTGAAATCCTGCAGCGCCCGCAAGGTCCCCCTGCTCAAGAAAGCACATATACATGCCCGTCTGAAGTTTGCCAGTGAACATCTGAATGATTCAGAGGACAACTGGGTGAAAGTGTTGTGGTCAGATGAGACCAAAATGGAGCTCTTTGGCATCATCTCAACTCGCCGTGTTTGGAGGAGGAGGAATGCTGCCTATGACCCCAAGAACACCATCCCCACCGTCAAACATGGAGGTGGAAACATTATGCTTTGGGGGTGTTTTTCTGCTAAGGGGACAGGACAACTTCACCGCATCACAGGGATGATGGACGGGCCCATGTACCGTCAAATTTTGGGTGAGAACCTCCTTCCCTCAGCCAGGGCATTGAAAATGGGTCGTGGATGGGTATTCCAGCATGACAATGACCCAAAACACACGGCCAAGGCAACAAAGGAGTGGCTCAAGAAAAAGCACATTAAGGTCCTGGAGTGGCCTAGCCAGTCTCCAGACCTTAATCCCATAGAAAATCTGCAGAGGGAGCTGAAGGTTCGAGTTGCCAAACGTCAGCTTCGAAACCTTAATGACTTGGAGAAGATCTGCAAAGAGGAGTGGGACAAAATCCCTCCTGAGATGTGTGCAAACCTGGTGGCCAACTACAAGAAACGTCTGACCTCTGTGATTGCCAACAAGGGTTTTGCCACCAAGTACTAAGTCATGTTTTGCAGAGGGGTCAAATACTTATTTCCCTCATTAAAATGCAAATCAATTTCTAACATTTTTGACATGCGTTTTTCTGGATTTTTTTGTTGTTATTCTGTCTCTCACTGTTCAAATAAACTTACCATTAAAATTATCGACTGATCATTTCTTTGTCAGTGAGAAAACGTACAAAATCAGCAGGGGATCAAATGCTTTTTTCCCTCACTGTGTAGGTGGATGATTAAAGCAGTCTAGGGGTTTGTTTGGGAATATTTCCCATGTCCTTATTTACCGCAGTGTTCCTTTAAGATAGAGACATTGCTACTGAGTGTGGAGAGTAGTGGGCACTGGGTGGTTATGTGAAGGCGAGTGGGATACTGTTGAGGTTGTGCTTGTATGTATGTTTGTTGAACATATTTCGCACCGTACATAGCCAACCGTACTAATCGGTGGTGCATGATCGAATGGTGCTCACGAGTAATAAGTTTTTGCGATTAGCGCAAGCTGTGTGCAACAACAAAAAAATGCCAACAATGCATTTATGGCCGCAGGCGGAAACAAACAACTCTAAAGAGAAATGATACAAACGAGATGTGTTTTCGGGCTGTGCCACGCAGTAAAACCAAAACACATGAGATAGATATACAGCACAGCCGAGCAAACCTTTGTAGTATTAATGCATATCAGACGGGGGGAAAAAAACAGACTAAAGCGAATGGCTTCTCGGATTTAAGAATTTAATCACGGACCTAAATTGTAATAAATTAATCTAATTACTCAGGTGGAGAGAGAGAGTTATATTGCATACAGCGTGAGTTTGCTGGTGCGTGCGTGTTTGCTCATGTCGAATCAGAGTAGGAATTTTTAGAAGGAGTATACACAAAAGAGAGGAGTCTCAAACACAGGGTAACTTCTCAATGCTGTTTACTTCCATTTTTTGCGTATATTATCAATGCTGTACAGTTTCGACATATTAGGTCAGCAACCACTTCCTTCCTTCCTGAGTAAACATGCCTTGCACTGGCACCTCGAAGTAAAAGTGTGACATAGTTCATATATAATGCTGACGAATTTGAACAGAAATCAGTCTTGCGTGTAAATTCGGTGTTAATGGCTGCAACGAGTTTGTAACCTCTGACCGTGGACGTTTCTGTTTCTTGCAGGGAGTGGTGGGCGGGGTGCTTCTGGTCACACCGAACAACATCATGTTTGATCCTCACAAGCTCGACCCCCTGGTTGTAGAGAACGGCTGTGAGGAGTATGGCATTATTTGTCCAATGGATGAGGTGATATCTGCAGCCATGTACCACGATATCGTCAACACCAAGATAAAGGATGTCACTCCGATGTGCGTTAACATTTGCACTCTCTCCAGTTGGTTTTTGCCGTTCGGCAAGAAATGAATGTTTGCGAGCACGTGCGGAGCTCATGATAAGCCACTTTTTGAGCCATCGTTTGTGGCCAGGTCACGTCTGAAAAATAAGTGAATGCCTCAGGTTTTTTAAAGTCATTGCTTTACATTTCCTATACTTGGCACTCCTATCGTGTTTTTGTATTGTTTGTTGTTGTTACGTTCTTACCTGTCCTTACTGGACATCTGTGAAAAAGAGCTTTATAGCTTATTGGATTCCTCCAGTATAAATACATATTCTGATTTAAATAAATATAACTGGACATCTGTGGAAAAAGAGCTTTATAGCGTATCAGATTCTTCCAGTATACATACAAATTCTGATATAAATAAATATTCTGAAAAATAAATATTCGGAGAACATGCGACTTTTCCTAAAAGCTCTGTAACATGTACAATATTTCTTAGTTGTGGGTATGTTTTTACACGCTTTTAATTAACTCACTCTGTCTGTAGTTGTTGTTGTATCCTCAAATCTTGTAACTCAATTTTAACCCACTTCCCAATGTCGTATCGACTGCAAACTTGGTATACGTATGTCATACTGATGACAATACTATATTCTATCATTAAAAATAAATATTTTTAAACAATCTTTTTTACATGTTACGTTTCGGCTTGGGTCTAATTGTCCACGCTCAACTCACGTTGGCTGTAAATCACCACGGTGCCCTTACGTTTATGGCAAGCTTCGGGGCCACTTCCTGGAGTCGTGGAGTTCTGCCACGTTACTCGTACGGCGGTACATTTCATTAAAGCGTGTTTAAAAAAAAAAGTGTTTTTAAATATTGCTTATTACTCATTATCAACAGGCCTGAAGAGTGGGTGAACTTGGCATTGGGGAAGAAGACGACGAGCAGCATCAGACCACATGGCGAGGAGCGTGAGTCCCGGCTCGTGGAGGCGGGTAACGACAGCGCAAGCACCGCACCAAAAAGCACCGAGGAATCTCTCTCGGAAGAGGTGTTCACGGAATCGGAGTTGTCTCCCATTCGGGAGGAGGTCGCCTCTTCGGATGAACTCGAGCAGTCATCGAGGTCAGCCGAGGGCCTTGCCAACAGTGGTTCTGACAAGACGCTCACGGCTTCGGAACCGCCGGAGCCGTGTGCGGTTTCTGCTCAGGACGAAGCTCGGACCACGGGCGACAGTGGTTTCGTCGCCGGTCATTCGCAGGATGCCGGTGATGCATCTCTCGGGGGCCGTGATCCGAACAGCACCGAGAGCCAAGGCTCCTCCAGTGATACCACGACACAGACCACCTGCCACGAGGTCTCCATTGAAGCGGACGGAGACGGATGGAAGCCCTGCGATCATTTGGACGGCAGCGAGAAAGCCAAAGACGAGCGGGCGTCCGCTGAACCTGAGGCGGGCGCCGAAGCCGCGGCAGAATCTGAACCGAACGCTTCAGTCGAAAAAGAGCCGGAGAAAGTTAACGAAGGTGCCAAGGGAGTTGTAGGGCAGACGGAAGAACTCGAGGAGCTAAGAAAGATGTGGAAGTCGCACACATTGCAGCATACGCGGGAGCAGAGAGATAACATACAGCATGCAGGCGAGTGTCTATCTTTTGCAATAACCTAAGAAATACAAATTTATTTTTGAACACAACTCTTGACTGTCTTTCCTAGAATATATTTGCCAACCTCTAACCCCTTTTGGAGCACTGAGCTTTCTGCTGAGAGATGAGTGGAATGGTGCCTAGGCTGGAATGTTACTCTAAATGACTTTGATTTGTTTTGTTTAAATGGCGGTACATTTGTGTATTAAAAATGCGAGCAATGTGACATTTATGCATTTATTGCAGAGCAACCCACTGTCATGAAATGTTCCTTCTGTTTTCTTGTCATTCCTGCAGATGTCTTCTCCAGTGAAAAACGAGTGAAGAAGGCAGTCATGTTCCTGTGCTTGAGAGTGGGCAAGCCCATGATGAAGACCTTCGTATCGCATGCACAGGCCAGCATGCAGCAGTATGCCCAGAAGGATACTGAACCAGAATATTGGTTTGCCGTGCCACAGGAAAGGTAAGAAAAAAAACGTGTCTCTACACGCTCGGTTCGCACAGCTGCCCTTTCAAACGCTTTTGAAATGCTGTTCTAAAAAACACAGAATGTGCCTCTGGACTATTGACTGTCCCAGGTTTGGCAAATGGGGACGTTTTGGAACGACATATGATTTTGCGTATTTGCTGTAAAGGTCGCCGATGTTATTTTGAAAATTCCTGGGTGGTGTCTGCCGTGATGCCCAACGTTTGGCCCATGTGCTGAGGTACTGATATCATATCATGATTTCATCAATATTATTGTAACTTCTTCAGCAATTGAACTGAAGCATAGCAATGGACATATCCAATAACACGCCGTACAATGCGAAAACACATTTGAGAGTGGACTTCTATTTTTTTAAATGTATGGCGATATAGCATGGGTGGACAGCAAAAGCCCAGCGTGCATTCCATCATTTGTTGTCAACATGCCAATAAATCAACACGTGTGAAATACATGATGCACGATTTACAAGCTCGTATAATAGATTGGTTGATGTGGAAGCATTTACTCTATCTGGTCTGCCAAGTCTGGGTTGTTTGTCCTTGCCTTAAAATATGCATGGGTGTAACCCATGTTTTAGAACTCTGGAATTATGCAGATTTTAACCACGAGTTGTAAAAAAAAATGCTTCGCTTTGTGGTGAGCACAAGGGGCTTGCTCTGACTTTATAAAACACATGTTGGTAATTTCCCTAATGCGAGTACCACACCCAAGGCACACTTGTGCTGTTAGGTACAGTACAATGTTTCTGTCCACTCGACGGAGCTGGCGTATATCCAACACAAAATTACATAATTTGGACAGTTTTTGGAATTTGGAGGAGGCCTGCCCTTTCTTGGGATAGTGGCGCATTATATGTAACACGATCTTTGTTCCTAGGTAGTAAGTGTTATTTTCTAATTGCTTATGCCTCAAAAGTATAGAAAATGGCTATTATTCCCCACAAACTTTGCTTTTGTGACCAGGACTTTATGTGAAGGAATGACACAAATGCACACCACGTTTTCTCATTGAAAATAGGTACATTTCAAAATATCACTGTCCTGGTCACAAAAGCAAAGTTTGTGTGGAATAGTAGCCATTTTCTGTACTTTTGAGGCATAAGCAATTAGGAAATAACACTTACTACCCAGGAAATGTGTCGTCGCCCATTTTTTTGGTGCCATTTTTAGGCTTTGCTACCAAAAAAAACAATCGCACGTGAAAATTACACCTGACAAACCGGTAAAAAGAGATTAGTCTTCGGTTGACAGTGACGGGGATTGTCGCTGTACATAATAAGCAACCGTGATGTCGTGATGTTATCGTGTCTGAAAGTTTTTTGTTCTTCCATTTGATGGAAACAAATGCGCCGTTGCATTTATTTATGCGTACGGTCCACGTTCCTCCCCTTTGACGTGTAATACTTCTTCTGGTCGGTATGTGCGGCTCTTTAAAAAGTGATTGGCAGGAGGTGAATTCAAAAGTTGGGCTGAATTAGTTATTTCAAGGTAATTAATTCATTTGATTTGTTAATTTCAAAAGTTATTTGCTTGACGGTCCCCATTGGGATGACGTCAGCCGTTATCACTCTCACGACTTCACGGGCGAAACGATGTTGAAGTAGTTTTTGAGAAATATTTCAACTTGGCGCAAAATGAAAGGGTTGAAACATTTCCACGTTGATATTCATACGATAAACGGCACAGCAGCTTTGATGCACGCCACTGCTGATTTATATTACAGTGAGATTGCTGTATCGACAGTTGCATACTTATGTTAAATTATAACTGTACGGTAATTGCAAATCCGAGCTGTATCAATCGTTTATTTCAGGATGTGAACAAAGGAAACAAAAATAGCCAAATGGTATGAATGTCTCATATGGGAAAATTACGTATGCTGTATTAATACTTTTACAAAATGTCCTTGCACATATATACACGCATGGGACATGGACTTCTACATTTGCAACTGCACTGCTGTATACGTAGTATAAGGCAGGGGAAATATTAGAAAGCCCAATCATAATTCCGGTTTATATCCTATACTATACCCTTTAAAGGTGGTATTTATAACACACAAGGCATTTTTGCCTGCGGTATTAAAAAGCACCGTTGGCTATTTACTGTGACCGTGACCGCTAGGGACATACTTGGGACACGGCAAATTTAAACCAGATGGGTCCCGCCCTCGACGTGTTGACTTTGCGGACAACCACGTGATCGCTTGGCCATGTGGAGTGGTCTGCAGTGCTTTAAAGCCTCGGCGTTTGATATTTGCACACGCACGTTATACAGTGCGCATCGGTGCGTCCAGGCCTTGACGGGAACACCTGCAGAGAAAACTCTTGTTTCGAAGGTAACCCAAGGCTGCTGTGCTTGAGCGTGCGAGTGTGGTCATTGGTGCGGTACTTGACTTTTGAGAAAGTGGAACAGGGGGGTCATTGAGCACAGATGGCAAGTGTCTCACTGCAGACTGGTTACGTAGGGGTATTTCTTTGTAGGGGAAACTGCTTCTTAGTTTGATGCAATTTATCAATTTGTTTATTCATTTTTTTTATTTGCACGGTAGTAGAGTTTTCTTTTGCTTGGTTGTGGCTGTATATGGGATTTGGTCCTCATTTATAAATAATGTACAGCGTTATGGGATGCTTTTTGCATGAATGACGCTACAGTATATAACTTTAAAGTATTATAACTATTGTCCAATTTCGATTTAAAGGTTTCGTGACTGCAAGGATTCATCTTCTGTGGTTCTTTCGGTAACGTCATGAACTATTGTGCAGTTCATGGATATGCTGTTTTTATTAATACCGCTGGCCCGTCCATAATTATATAAAACCTAAAGCAAGTACAATAAAACTTAGCAAATATTTTGTCATCATTTATATTGTAGTTTTTTTATCTTTTCTTAAAAACGTATATGAGTGTAGGGGGGGTTAACCCAAATGCGTATGCTTGTGTATGGGGGTCCACTGACAATGTACGTACGCATAGGAAACGGGGTGGGGGGGGGGGGATGAAGCCTCAATAATTTCTCTAAAATATTCCGGATGTGGACCCTATCTCTTTGCTTAAACACGTTAATATGATTAATCCTTGATCGTTTCTGCGTGGATTAAATATCGGCCGTTCCATAGGATTCGTGGGGGGGAGAGGGGGAGCGTCAAGCGTACGTACGTACGTACGCAGGTGGCGGGAGGGGGGTGTAAAAAGCACGCGTACGTGCAGGGAGACGGAGGGGTCAAGTTGTGACAGATTTTTGCGTACCTACTAAATGGATGGCCTCCTAATGTCCAACCTTTTATAGCTTGCAATGCAAAAGAGCAATAGAATAGACAGCCATGGCTGGTGACTTCGTACAATGATGTCATCTCAATGGATGCCAAGCCTTGAATTCCCTAATCAAACGAATTCATGTTGGGCAAGCTATTTTACACAAAGCGTATTGTTCTCAGCTATCCATGGCCATTAAATGGAATGATTTATAGGCTACATATATTGTGTAACAGTAGCACAGGATATCTGTGCATTAACCAACACATCCAGTGCATTTGAGGTCACAACACACACACGCTTAATGTGTCTTCTGTTACTCAGTGTTATTTTTTTAATTAAACAAAGCCCTATTAGCCTTAATTTGAGTTTACCGTGTCTGATTTGAGCCTTAATATACCACTATATTTTATATTGTCCCTAGGTCTTAAGATATTTGCCCATAAACTATATCTTATACAAAGGTTTTGATTTAAAGCTTTCGTGACTGCAGAGATTCATATTCTTGGTTCTTTCGGTAAAGTCACATAGAAGGGAAAAAATAAAATAATAAAAATATAAAAAATTAAATTGTCACGACGTTTCGACTGCAACACAAGCCATTGCTTGTGTTTTTATTTTATTGTTTCCCTTCTACGTGACTTTACCGAAAGAACCAAGAATATACAAAGGTTGTTAAATGTGTTATTAAAATTGTCAGGTGAATTTTAATTGCATGCAATATTTAATTTCATGCACAGAATTGTTTCATTGTCAACAAATTTTGGAGCAAAATAAATGCACTTTGTTCAACATATACCTAAATATAATTAATGTAACCATAAAATGTACCAGTACATTTTCCAAATTTCATCATTTGCTTATAGGATCTGAATTGGAGGTTTATAGATCTCTATGTCTGCGAGTGATACATGTCTACACCGATTTTCAAGATTTACTCTGCCTAAAATGTGTGACGACCTAATGGATGATGACGAGCGTGAATGTTGTGGCGGTTGTGACAATTTACATTATTCCTGGCCATGCGTACCTAATTTAATTTTTCTTTTGTGGATTTAAGCAGTAGAGGTTGTATTGGGAAGGAGACAGGCATCTGAGTGGTCTCCATGAGTCCGACAGCCAATGGGAAGACCTACGACCAGATGGTGGGATACTTTTAGGACATCTCTTTTGAGGTCACGAGACTTGTGCAGTAGCTCTGGGATGATCTGGCAGATGGTCGAAAGAGTCAACGAGGTAGGGTGGCATCAACAGCTTTGATCTTCACGGTAGTGAGATGGTAACTACCTCTCACAGTATACAGGAGGCCGTGGGTTTGATCCCAACCCTGATGCCTGTATATTTGGAGTTTGCATCCTCTCACCGTGACAGTGTGGATTTTTCTCTGAGTCCTCCGGTTTTTGCCCGCCATCTTTTTAATGAACACGCGTTTAGAGTATTTGGCTGCTATAAATTCCCACGTGACAAGCCTATTCGTTGAGCTATTATTTGTGGCCAGGTCGCTTCTGCAAAAAGAGCTCTATAGCTCGGTGGGCCTTACCTGGTGAAATAAAAAGAAAAATTGTTAAATAGATATTTGTGACCCGGCTGCTTCCGCTGTCCGTTTGTCTGCAGGGCGGATCACCTCTTCGCCTTCTTCGTGCAGTGGAGCCCCGAGCTGTACGGCGTGGAGGGGGATGAGCCCGGCAAAGAGCCCGGCTTCGTGGTGGTGGAGAAGAGTGAGGAGTCCGACATGATCGACGACGTCTATGACGAGGCCTCTGGGAAGGAATGGGAGGTAAGTTCCGTAGCCCAGCAGCCTGCCTGTAAATACTAACCCAACGGTCCAATTCGAAGAGGAACGTTCATCATCGTACAGTGAATTTTAGTATTTCTAACAGCACTTGAACTTCGAATAGTTTCCCTGTGCTTTGTCCAACTTGTCACATTTGAAAATGGTTCTAGTTTTTGGACATTGTGTAGGTTTTTTTTTGAGTTTTAACTGTACAACTCTGTCTATAGTTCTCGGTTAGTGAGTATTTCAATACATTTCTCCGCTGGATGGAGACGTGTCGTTTCAGGACCTTGGGGTGGTATACATAGAAAAGTTATCACCGAGAAAACTCATGCTTGGGTTACACCTGGCATTGCTCACCACGAGGCCACGCATTACTTCACTAATAATTCACATCTGTATATAACAGCAGGTGACATCCAATTGAGACGCAATATTGCCCTTCCAAGGAAGAGCTTTGATTTTTATAAAAGTATTCTGCTTGTCCCTCTGATGGCATGCCCCTATCTTGCTTGCTGGTGAACATGAAAGACTGACAACATTAGGTTATTGCCCAAATGTCATGAACAACATTTTCAAGATCTGTCTCTGCAATTGCACATTTTAGCCAACTTCACACTGCTCTTTAAATGTGGTCATCACTCCAGAACATGACTGCATTATCGTAGTAAAGCAAATGCAGTTTAAAGTGCGTATCAAAAATGTAATGGAACAAATCACCACCTGCTTTCTCGATGGATGTGAATAGTAAATAGTTAAATGATGCCGAAAACAAGTGTTCTGGTTTTGCCACTCGCGTTTCGTAATGGTTACTTTGTCTAACCTACAGAAAGTGACTCTATAATACTCTTTGGTTCTTTCGGTAAAGTCACGTAGGTATCAAATAAAATACTTATTTTATTTTATACCAAAGAGTACGGATTCTTGCAGTCACGAAAGCTTCAAATCATGATTGACTCTATAATGCCACTATTCTAAGTGCTGGATGCATATTGGTTTTTTTTATAATACAGCTTGCAATAACATGTCAGTAATACAGCTTCATTAAATACGATAACGTGTTTTCGCTGTGAGCTATTTGACTGTGAGCCCTTGGGGCTGGCTGAGTCTGATGCTGTCTGCCAACGTTGCATAATTAAACTTATAAGCAGTACCCCGGGGTACCATAGTGATGCAGTCAATTTTCGTCTGTTGATGGTCGGCGATGCGGCAATCGACTCATCTCGACGAGCCGTACACGATGCACCACCACGGTGCGTACGAGCGTTCAGGGTTTCAGCACAATCGCCCTCGCTGCGTTTCGACATCGCGGAGTAGCACCGCCGATTTCGGATCGATCGGTAACCCCAGTCGAGGAGTTAAGTAACACCCCTGGAAAAAAAAGTGTCCCAGAAATAAAATATTTAATTGCCTTAGCCATTTTGTATTATTTGGTAACCCAGGGTATAGTTCATGCGGTGTGTGCGCAAGCCCACATCACAATCGATTGAGCTTGAAAATAGTATACGTCACACGGGGCTGTCTCTACAGGTTTTAATAATATTTTTAACCGTAACAATGTTAATACATAGCTTGTGGTCGCCCTATACATGCACGCGTTTTTATATAGAGAGTACATATATATGTATGTAATGGCAGTGATAAATCTTGAGAAGGTAATATTAATAGTGTGAATAGTTACCCATTTGAATACATAAATGTACCAAGCTTGCGCTTTCAAATTGCTTCTAACGTGTAGTCTTGTGCATATTTGGTAAAGGATAAAAAAAAATCTACTTTTTAAAAATTAATTTGATAGCTAGTGATCAGCGTAGCAGCTTTAAATGTTGCTATATATGTACGTGGTTTTATTTTATTTCTTGTCCATGCCAAAGTTGTCCATTTTGTGGAGCCACGCGTGTTGTGTCTTTTGTTTCCTTGTGCCCTCGTGCGTCTTGTTTGTTTAGGTTGTTTCTGTCAGTGAGTACCATCGCAGAATTGATGAACTTAATTCTGGAGAGCTCCGTAACCTCTGCAAACGTCTGAAGGTGGCAGGACCTAGGAGTGATTTTTTTTTTCATGATTGTTGCTTTCATTGTTATAACTCTTTAATACTGCTTGCTGCGTTCCGCCGTGTTTTATTTGTCAAATTATGCATGTCCTTGTGGTCATTTTGGGTTTCTTATTTTACTCTGGAAAATTCCCTTATGAAGTACACCATACATTCCTGGAGATGCTCATGGTAAAAAAAAAACTGTTTGCTCCATATAACTAATCAATTAATAATCTGCAGACACTTTTTTTAAGTGCTGCTTAAATTAATTGAGCAATGGAAAATATCTGGGGGAATTTTCTACGTAATATCATGTCATCAAACACAGTCATCAGCAATTGCAAACAGATACCCACAGAATCTGTTGCATTGCGATGGCTCGTTTTAATGTAAGCCTAGTAGCTACTGTACACTTTTAGGAAACATGGCTTGTGCAAGATGATGACACTGGCTGATACACACTGGTTAATACTCATTTTCACTCTATGGTGATGGCAACAATTATCAATTGAATACGATGCATTCAATTGATCCTTTTTTCACTGTCATACCTTGGTGTGCATCACATGTCAAGACACGCAAGCGTCGACAACAAAAACACTTTTTTGCAAATAACTATTAGAAGTTTAATTCCCGAGTGTGTTTTGAGTGGGGTAATTTCCTTGCACGCGATAGTGTGTGTGTGTGAGAGAGAGAACTTGAGTGTGTGTGTATGTATGTTCTAATACTTGCTTACTCGCACACATAGATCGTGACTGCAGATGAAGCCAAGAGGCAGCATGGCCCAGTGGCGTCGACCACTGATCTAGGGCCAGAGGCATGGAAACCAGTCCTCAACAGCTCCAGCTCCATCCTGGAACAGGATCACATAAATAAGGCATGTGGTGATGAAAAACCATTTTCATTATCTGTCTTATCTCGCCTACCCCGAGTGAAGTGTGATTGAAACGCAGCCAGCTCAGGATTCAATTTATTGAGTTCATGTAATGACCCATTGCGATTAAAGTAAACAAAAATGTTGCCAGACTCTAAACTCCAAAGATAAAATGTTAATTACAGGAAGGCACATGATCTAAACATCATTGTTCGTATAATTCCTTTGTTGCATGTTTTAATAATATATGCTCAAATACCCCCTCCCGGTTTCTTTCATTGTTATTTAAAAGTAAGAGCAGTTGTAGCAGCACGCTACCCATGAATATTTTAATATGCCACAGCTCCATTGAGCTGTGCTTAAATACAGGTCCAGTCTCGATGGGCCAGCCACACACATCTCCCTGCTCAGCCTTGGCTAATAATACATCCTGCATGTACTGCAGATTTTGAGCTGAGTGAAAATAAACTGTTACCCTGCTGTTTTTGGAATCCTATCAATGAAACTGTGTAAATTTGTTCGGCTTACTCGAGTGGCAGTTGTTCATGTTCTCACTATTCCCACGTTTAATATCAAATAAACTTTCGATTTAAGTTACGTTAAAATTATCTTCATCACAGTCTTTAGTGTAACACAACATCAAGTCACCGTGGGGACATTAACATATGTGGGTGGATAGGATGGCAGGGCCGTCGAAGGCACCCTGTTGATTTTTACTCAGTTACTGTTGCATGGCATTGGCGATGCTGGTCGTTGTCTTTTTTAATTAATGAGTTCCTGTATCAGAAAAAAAGGAACCGGATCTGTTGGCTGTATTCCCACGACATTAAAACGAGACAATCCTTGAAAACTACAGAACAAATATCACGTCAGCCACTACCTTTTATCTCTTTGACATGCCATTGCCAGAAAGTAATTGTATTTGTATTATTATAGAACATTATATACCACGTTTAATTAGTAATTAAACCAAAAGATAAATATGGGGAATCAATACTGATCACTCTAGTTTTAACTTTCCTGGTCCACTGCACTTTATGCATATTTCCAGGTTCATGTGAAATTCACGTGGCAGTCAGTGGCCCATTTAAACTTTATTAACGGGCTGAAATCTGTGAATACATTTTATACTAATTCGACAGAAATGCTTGGTGTGTCTTCGTGTTGCAGCTGGCGGCAAACCTTCCCCCTCGCACGGTGGGATACCCATGGACGCTCGCCTATAGCACATCCAAGCATGGAATGAGCCTTAAAACTCTCTACCGCACCATGGTTGGTCTGGACTCCCCCATGTTGCTTGTGATTAAAGACACTGACCGGCAGGTAAGCATAATGAGTCATCAGTTCCGATATAAAACTTCCCTCCGTGCATTCTTCTTCTTCTTCTCAGTAGGTCCTTCCGATCGCTGCCAGATAGAACGATAAAGGTGCACAGCTTCCAGTCTAGTGACGTTTGCCATTTCCTCCGGTTCCAACCCATTGTCTCTGCAGAGGATGTCGGCGTTGGCTTGTGCCTCTATAGCTTTGTTTCTTCTTCCATGTTCTCCACATCAGCAGCTTGCTGATTTCTTTATCATACTTTCTTTTCCGTTGTCCGACAAACTTTTAGCATCCTGTCCTTGAGTTGCCGAGTCAGTCTTTGCCTTCATAGATTCCCTTCTTGATTTGATCCTTTCCGCTGATGTTGAGTGCTGCCGCCAACAGCCTTAGCGGGTCCTCTCATTGAAATTAAAATACCGTGGTTTAAACATTAGCAACCCACTTGGGGTTTTTTTTGACACAATTTTTTTGTCACAAATATGTGGACGATGCAAAGTTTGCTGCTGTCCTGTAACTTGGGGATGTTAAAATACCCCAGGCACTTCATAATAGTTCAGCCAGACAATAAGGTTTGTCAGTGTAAAGCGAACATGTCTGATAAATAAGTAACAATGCCCCCAAAGCAAAACAGAATCTCCTTTTCGGTAAAGCGGTAGCTATCCCAACTCAGCAACGTTCTGCTTCCACATCACAATGTGCCGAGATAATTCATATTGAACAGTGAAGTGTTAAAAATGCTTCACTGTTGGCACTTGCTGAACTCGGGCCTGTTGTTGCTCGCGAGAAATTGTTATGCAGCATCAGGGCCTTAGCACAAATCAAAACTCTCACCACATTCGTAATTAAGCTGTCTCGTAAAACATATAATCGGCTAACATTTCTGTCAATGATGACCTTTCAGGGTATAACAAATGTGCTGATTCATAGTTGGAAACAATGCTTCATACTGGTGCCCTAGCACGTAGAAGGAAGATGACGTGCACAGCTGTGAATCAATATCGGACGTTTTTTCCCTTGTTTGTATGTACGTTGAACTTCTTTCGTGACAGTACTAGCCAACCGTGCAAATCAGAGTGGCAGTGGAAGGACAACAATCTAAATAACAAAAAAATACAATGTGTTTAAGCAGTCAGAGAGTAGAACTCCAGTCCTCAAAATATGGATACACAAACTGATGTCAATAAATATTTTCATTTGAAGCTGCAGAATTGCATCATGGGAAGGGGGATGACGACATAAAATGAGAGCAGAAGAATGTGAGAGGCCTCCAGCTCAAAGACATCTACATCATGGGACCTATGGTCACCCCGAGCTCTCATTACTCTGATAGTGGCGTTGTCTTTGAGCTGTGTGCGCCTTTTGGCGTCCTCTGGTCTAACACCGTTTGAGACGAGGCTCAAAAGAAAGCTGTCTCTGGTGTGGACCAATCAGTTTCAAGGACAATGCCACATATTATCAGAGTGTTTTTTTTTGTTTGCATTCTGACCACAAGTATTGTGGTTAATGCAGACATGATTCTTCGTAAAAAAAGGTTTCAGTTTTGTTGGCAGAAAACAGGGGAAAAAACATATTCTTATAAGAATATGACTTATGCTGAGCCATTGTTATTGGTGCATTGTATTATTTGCAGGAGCTTAATGCAGCTAGCTTTTATCAGGGCTTCAATAAACATAATTTAAACGTCAGGATATTAAAGTTGCTATAAATATAGCAAGATCCATGAAATTTAACAACTTAAACTGCAGCATTTTATATATAACGATGATAAAAAGGGCTTTATTACCCTTTATGGCATTATAAATACAGGTATTAAGATGTCCAAACACCAAATATAAAACTATTACAAAGCATCAAGTCTGCATTGACCACACGTAATTGGAAAAAAATGCCAACAAACATGCTGTTTGGACTGTCTTTGAACGAGAGACAGCCTGGGAAAAAAGGTCCCAGAGTAACGGCTTTGCATTTAACCAGAGGTGGCTGGATTGATCAGAACTTAGCGTTTACTCAGTGGCCACATGAAGTGAAGCTACAAAAATTGTTGTTGCTTTGCAAGCCTGTAATACATTAGTCGAGGCCTGATAATTTATTAGTTCTATTTTAAATTAATATATACAGTTGATGATAGGGCATACAGTGAGGGAAAACAGTATTTGATCCCCTGCTGATTTTGTACGTTTGCCCACTGACAAATAAATGATCAGTCTACAATTATAATGGTAGGTTTATTTGAACATTGAGAGACAGAATGACAGCAACAAAATCCAGAAAAACACATGTCAAAAATGTTATAAAATGATTTGCATTTTAATGAGGGAAATAAGTATTTGACCCCTCTGCAAAACATGACTTAGTACTTGGTGGCAAAACCCTTGTTGGCAATCACAGAGGTCAGACGTTTCTTGTAGTTGGCCACCAGGTTTGCACACATCTCAGAAGGGATTTTGTCCCACTCCTCTTTGCAGATCTTCTCCAAGTCATTAAGGTTTCGAGGCTGACATTTGGCAACTCGAACCTTCAGCTCCCTCCACAGATTTTCTATGGGATAAAGGTCTGGAGACTGGCTAGGCCACTCCAGGACCTTAATGTGCTTCTTCTTGAGCCACTCCTTTGTTGCCTTGGCCGTGTGTTTTGGGTCATTGTCATGCTGGAATACCCATCCATGACCCATTTTCAATGCCCTGGCTGAGGGAAGGAGGTTCTCACCCAAGATTTGACGGTACATGGCCCCGTCCATCATCCCTTTGATGCGGTGAAGTTGTCCTGTCCCCTTAGCAGAAAAACACCCCCAAAGCATAATGTTTCCACCTCCATGTTTGATGGTGGGGATGGTGTTCTTGGGGTCATAGGCAGCATTCCTCCTCCTCCAAACATGGCTAGTTGAGATGATGCCAAAGAGCTCCATTTTGGTCTCATCTGACCACAAAACTTTCACCCAGTTGTCCTCAATCATTCAGATGTTCATTGGCAAACTTCAGACGGGCATTTATGTGCTTTCTTGAGCAGGGGGACCTTGCGGGCGCTGCATGATTTCAGTCCTTCACGGCGTAGTGTGTTACCAATTGTTTTATTGGTGACTATGGTCCCAGCTGCCTTGAGATCATTGACAAGATCCTCCCGTGTAGTTCTGGGCCGATTCCTCACCGCTCTCATGATCACTGCAACTCCACGAGGTGAGATCTTGCATGGAGCCCCAGGCCGAGGGAGATTGACAGTTCTTTTGTGTTACTTCCATTTGCGAATAATCGCACCAACTGTTGTCACCTTCTCACCAAGCTGTTTGGCAATGGTCTTGTAGCCCATTCCAGCCTTGTGTAGGTCTACAATCTTGTCCCTGACATACTTGGAGAGCTCTTTGGTCTTGGCCATGATGGAGAGTTTGGAATCTGATTGATTTCTTCTGTGGACAGGTGTCTTTTATACAGGTAACAAGCTGAGATTAGGAGCACTCCCTCCTGTATAAAAGCCAGAAATCTCTCAGATTGAGAGGGGGTCAAATACTTATTTCCCTCATTAAAATGCAAATTAATTTATAACATTTTTGACATGCGTTTTTCTGGATTTTTTTGTTGTTATTCTGTCTCTCACTGTTCAAATAAACCTACCATTAAAATTATAGACTGATCATTTCTTTGTCAGTGGGCAAACGTACAAAATCAGCAGGGGATCAAATACTTTTTTTCCCTCACTATGTTACTCAAATGCATTTGCGTCATTGAAAGAGTCTCTCTTATTTTTAATGACCGCAACATCTTCATTAGGCCTTCCGCCTAATGCTTTTTGCAATGCCATAAACGATGTATTTTTCTCACTTATTTGCAAAATGTAAGTGCATGTTGCTTTCAGGACTTCCTGCTAAACAGGCTGCGTAGGAACTAATTGGAGCCAGCCTTTGTATAGTTTTACAAATTAACATGACGAAAAAATGGAATTTAATAAGGAATGAATGAGCTGTCATTTATGTAATGACGAATGAATCTTGCGAGCCAGTCAGTTCACATCAATTCAGTTGCACAATTTACCCAGCTCTGAGATGATTTCGTTGGAGAATTATGCAAGCATTCTCGTGAGTCATAGCTTGCATAAAAAAAATGTGAAGATTAATCAAAAGTGAAAAAAAATGGGTGCGTTGCATAACTACGATCATCTCATTCTTGCGTGTCAAGGAATTATGACGTCTTGATTTGAAGCTTTCGTGACTGCAGGAATCCATACTCTTTGGTTCTTTCGATAAAGTCACGTAGGTAGAAAAATTAAATTAAAAATAATATATCACAATAATATATCATTATTTTTAATTTTATTTTTCTACTGATGTGACTTTACCGAAAGAACCAAAAAGTATGAAGAATGACATTTAGAAAGTGGTGACTGATTGTTCTATTCAACAATCTTACCGTACAGATTTTTGGAGCGCTTTCATCTGATCCCTTCAAAGTGAGCGATCATTTCTATGGCACAGGGGAGACCTTCCTGTTTACCTTCAACCCAGAGTATCAGGTTGGTGAAGAAACACACATTGTTCTCTGAAAGCAATTACAAGCCGAATGCATAATTTGAACCTCCCTTCGCACTAAAATAATGTGCTCGCCACAAGCCACTAAAGGCGAGCTGATTTATTTAATTTTGAAATGTGCGAGTCCCTGTGCCCTTTGCTCTGTGGGAGGTGGGGATGTGTTATTCCCAGCGGTTATCGGTCGTATTACAGATCCACATTGACCTGTCCTATAGTTATGCAATCATTAATATCGCTCATTGCTCTCTCGCCATATATGGAAGCCTGATGAACCCTATCTAATATGTTACAAAACATACTTTCATTTTTTTTTACTTTACATATCTATACGCAACTACTTCTCACTCAGTCAGTAGAGTCGACTGGTCATGCTCTGCTGTGTATATTTTTGAAAAATCCGTAATCAGCAAAATCGACACTTGCCATTGTTGACACCCACGCAGGCAGTGTTGGATACAGCGAATGGCATTTATTTTTTTACTATTCTGTAATTAAAATATATTTATACGTTCAGAATGATGTCCCTATACACATTGCAGCACATGCTGGCAAATGTACAAAGCGTTTCACTAAGCTCTGCAACAACAAAAAAACGCAGTTCGAAAACAGTGACTGGAATCTCCAATAATCAATGAAAATCGATAGGGGGTGCTTGAGCCAAAACAGGGCTCAAGTAACAGGCAGCATGAGATCTTATCCTTTGCTTGATAGGATCTGCTCCCTGCTGTCACCGATTGAAAAAAAAATACACACACATTCACCGCAGAAGGGTTATATTCCTTGAGATGTTTATCCTCATAATTCAGTAAGAGGAAATTACAAATATACGTTCATCCCATTGACTTTGCGTCATCGCACACATTCCCATTGCAGTGCTACAAATGGACTGGCGACAACCTCTTCTTCATTAAAGGAGATATGGACTCGCTGGCTATCGGCGGTGGAAGGTTAGTCCTTCGTACACTAAGAGCATCACAGGGGTTTATTGCTCAGCGGACAGGGGTAGAGACCATTTCTATTTTAATCCCCGAATGTGTGAGCCCACAAGCAGGTGTGCGCGCGTGTGTGTTTATTGCAGTGAGTCTGATTCTGTGCGGAGCGGCAATGTCGCGGTTAGCGCGCTGCGCTACGAAGCCGGCAGACTGTGTTCGATTGCCGCTCACGGCCAACACCAGTGACGATTGTCTGAACGGGTCCTGAGCCTTCTCCTAGGTCGACTCAGCCTCAAATGAGTAGCTGGTGCGGTGTGTAAACATCGCCACTGGGGAGACAAAGGCAGCCGGGTGTGGTGCTGGCCAGCCACCTTCTCCATGTGCCATGCCACCCTTCATAGGAGCTCACTAACAACATTTGCCTCAACAGTGTATGAAGGCTATACGGGGGATCTTTGTCTTTGTTTGTTGCAGTGGACAATTTGGCTTGTGGTTGGATGAAGACCTGTATCATGGACGGAGCCACTTCTGTAAAACCTTTAATAATGAAACGCTGTCGAAGAAAGAAGACTTCTTCATCCAGGAGGTTGAAGTTTGGCTGTTTGAATAGTGGATCACTACAGGGCTGTCCAGGCTGTTTAATCAGATCTCCTTGTGGCTTCTTTGCAATACCTGTTGATGTATAGATAACTTGCAATGTCAATAATATTTGATCACGGTGGAGCTTTGGGTGCCGCTGTATTTTGACTCTCATCATATGCGAAAACAGCTTCAGTGGTGTTCGTGAAAGTTATGCATAATAGGAAACCATACGATCGAACGTGAACAGCAGTGGAGCAACACAATTGGCCTTTTAACATCAGCATGAGCAGAAGTAAAAGACATACCGATGTGATACGGTGCACCGTACATTGTGTTGTGTGCTTATAATGTGGCACAATTCTCTGTCGTTTCCTCAGATTGTGCGATTATGTTATCGTCACCCATCACAGTTGTTTATGTAGCTGTTCAGACTGTATAATGAGGGTTGAAATAATGAGTTGTATAACTTTGAATATTTAACGTTGCTTTGGTGTCAGTAGTCACTAGCTCATTATGGTGTTATGCCCTGTAGGTTTGAAAGATGCGATTTAATTTTGCCAACACTTTTTCAAACAGTCAAGGTTATGCCACTGAGCTTTACGTGAGAGAGATGTGAAATGCAACATCAGTTACGGCTTAACCCAACAGAAACGTACATAAACACAATTTGCATTATATCATTGTATGCACTTGGTAATGCCAATTAAATAAAGTTGAGCAGAAAACATGATTACGTGTTAATGAATAATACTATTAATATAAGCAACGATAAATGTTGTTGCTATTTGCACACGTTTATACTTACCCCGACCAATGCTTAGCAATGCTAAGGTAATCCTACAATGCAGTGTATATTGTACACATAATGGTGTGCATTATATTGTATATTGTGTTGCTTGGTCTGCCAGTTAATTGAGTCTGTGTCTAGAACATTCGTGGTAAACCAGTGGCTGTACAGTCGTAATCCGGATTCTCTCAAGCTTTCAGATGGCGCTAGCTAGCATATAAACACAAGTGACATCCTGAATCCGTAAGATGGTGTGAATCCAATGTATGTGCTGGTGACTATGTTATATGCAAGAGCATTTATTTCATTCCGACATGCAGTAAGTGCAATCGCGTGCATTGTACAACATAGCAGACCACCTCCCCGGGAATGTCAAGCACGTCTCAAAAAACAATGGCAAAAGGATGGTATCTAAGAAGCTGCAAGGAAGTTGAAATATAAGTAGAATGCAATATTTTAGATGCTTGCCAAGCAGGCGTGTGTTGCTGTGGGAGTTAATGGATAGCTAAGTGCATAAGGATTTTTTGAAAATTATGTGTAAAGTCGGCTAGTTTTGTGATCGCATTACAACAACTGCCTGTCATTTGCAATACCAGAGGTTAAGAGGGGGCATTCTGGGTAGTGCTGCAAATAGTCCTGCAAGAGTATCTTGTGCGTGTTTGTAATTTCAGTGGGAAAAAAATTATTTCAATAAGCAACGATGGTCTCACAACAGTACCTTAACTCTCCATTGTAGTGTCTGACTCACGGAGGCATGCTACACTATACTGTAGCTGTATAATCCACTCCCGTAATGTCCTAGAGCCATATGTATCTGTAGCACAAAAACTCTTGACCTGCATTTGTTCCTTTTAATTCTTTGTTGGACGTGTAGATTTTTTCCCCATACCAAATGCATCTAAACAGTTAAAACCACAAGGAAATTATTAAAAAAGTATAACTTTGTTTATATATACCATAAAGTTGGGTATAATTCATACTAATTGGATAATTTTTATTTTTGTTGTTGAACATGCTGATTTGAAAATTCTGACAAAATGTGGTCTATTGATTTGCTGTAAGTATGGAACTGCATTTTATGTCATGAAATTAGTAGGTAATTCAAACTATGAATGCACTGGTTCATGTTTTCTTTTTCCCTATATTTCCCCCAATAGTTTTTATCTATATACAGTATATACCTACATGCTCTTGCTGTTTAATATGCAGTCATTATGATTGCTCAATAAAAATAATTAAAAAAACACTGACAAAAAAAGAAAAACTGAAAAAAAGAAGTAAACTTGAATGTTTAATATTTTCATTCCTGCTAATGTGTATATTTTGTTGTACATTTATGAATGTAAAGTAAATGAGAAATTATATATATACATAAAGTTTAATCTGTTATGGTTTACAAAATGCTGGCTTAAAACAGCCTAGATTGTACCGGACATGCAAACCTCACTGTCATGAGTGACAGGTGGCTTTCGAGTATTAATAGCAAATAAAACAATCCTTGGAATTATACCCATTGCTGGTTTTTGTGATGTAATTACCAAATACAGTCATTTGTTAATTTCACTATCGGGGTATTCGTTCACGTGCCGCCTGCGAACTCGTGAAGCCAATTGTGTGCGTTGTTGTGACCTAATGGTGCACGTGACCTATGTACACGAGTCACAGGTCATGGAGATGTTTTATCGCAAAGGCATATGGTAGAGATAATAGCATTGCCATATTTTCCGTGATAAGAAAAAAGAGAATAGTTTCAACGTACAAAACTTATTTAGTTGGAATTCTTATATTTGTGTTTTATTGCATCTTCACCGTCATTATTTTAACTATGATTTCACCATTATTGCAGCCATCAACTTTGTGAGCGTAATCACCATCGCGAGCATCTGTGCGATTGGCCAGTTTTGGTACCAAGCGTTGTACAATCTCAATGTGAAATCGTTTTTAGCAGAATGCACAGTTTAAAATATGTATTTTTTCTGGAACTTCATGGCACTTTAGTTTCAGTTACCAGAGTTCACAGTATGACACATTTCTGGATTATATACGAGTGGATACACCGTCTAAAAAGTCAGGACCTCATTGTCAAATGAAAAGTCTCAACTGGATGTAATATTTAAGCGAGAGATCGATGTTCATCATCCACAGACTTTTGTTTCGATGGAGTATTCTCAGAGCCAGAGCGAATGGACAGGGTATTATTTGATGTTGTATTCAATATATGCAATTAAAATGTGTTTTATGTATATTGCTGAGCCACAAGTAAACATCCCTGATGACATTTCATGAAAAGATTTTGGGACTTATTTGGGTTTCTTACACCGTAATACACAGTGAGACGCTGAGCATCCACCACTGTTGCTGTTGGCTCTCGCCCATGACAAGACCTGCAGGATGGGATTACGAGCAGACCATCGGAACTGGAGGGGTGTTTAAACTGTCACTGTGGACGTTCCCGCAAATGTCATGTAGTTGTTCTCCAGTGTTGTCATTTGTGGCAACACTTACAGAACATTTACACGATGTATTTCTGCAGGCTTTTAAATTCCCATGTTTCATTTTGTTAATGGACTACACGTTCGTTAAGCGTTTCGGAGCTGAATTCAGAGGTCGCCTGTTTGATTCACGTTTTCTGGCGCGCCAGTTAAAACCACGTGCAAGTTTATTAAATCCAAACCTTGCCTCCCTCTGTCCACCCAGCAGAACATAACAAATCTGAATATTTATACTGGAGGAATCCGATGAGCTATCAAAGATGTCCAGTAAAATACAAATGGTCATGCCAGAGTTAGTCGATGTGGCAGGTGGCATGTGATGGGGTAAAGTGTGTGGATACTCCCGCCTCTTCCAGGATGTCTGAGCATCATTGAACAGTCGCCTAAATACCCTCTACAAGGGCTCTCTAGGGTGCCCTCTCGTGGAAGCCCTTCCACCAGTAGTTGTGTGAGCAAGCATTTGCATGCGTGCCTCTTTATCTTCTTTGGAGCCAAGCTTCAAAATGGCAAGTGGACATGCACGCTGCCAGTGCTCTACATAAAATAATAAGTAATATATAAAAATTCTTCTTTAAAAACACGCTTTAATGAAATGTACCGTACGAGTAATGTGGCACGACTCCAGGAAGTGGCCCCGAAGCTTGCCATAACGTAACGGACCGTGATCATTTACAGCCAACGTTAGTTGAGCGTGGACAATTAGACCCAAGCCGAAACAAAAGATTTCAAAAAGATTGTTTAAAAATATATGTATAATGATATATAGTATTGTCATCAGTATGACATACGTATACCAAGTTTGCAGTCGATACGACATTGGGAAGTGGGTTAAAATTGAGTGACAAGATTTGAGGATACAACAGAGTGAGTTAAATAAAAGCGTGTAAAATAATAATACAAACCATCGTGTACTTAGATGGAAGGTTGTGCTCTGGACAATTATCGTTTTTTTCCAAGATAGCCACTCCACCACTTGCCGCTGTCACCACAAGGCCAGTAAAAAATCGGATACTTGGGTAAATATCCCAAAATGTATCCGGGCATCATGTTGGTGAAACGAATCTCGCAGAGCAACGCAAAGCCGTCTCCGTGTTAGTGAATGGCCCATGGAATTGGATATCTCAGAGCTACCTCTGAGATCCATTCAATCGAGTGCTCTTCCGTCCAATAGAGGGAAGCACACACGCTCAACATACGTGAGCAATGTTTGTTGGGTAATAGTCAAAACGATATGAAATTCTCACAGCTGGAATTAAAATACAATTCCGTGCGACATGAAATGTAATGGCATAGATTGTTTTGTGGAAGTCATCGGTGACCCGCTGAGACCATAACGTCATTAGACTTGAGATCCCGGTTTTAACCACGTGTGACTGCCTGGATTAAAATCCAGGATGTCGGCGGGAGCTCAAACTCTGTCTCGCCTGACCACCTCTCACAATGCGAATGTTGAATGTCAGCTATGAGCGGCCTTAATTTTTTGTCCACCTAAAATTGTCTACAAGGCTTCACCACGTGGGCTTCTGTAATGTTTCGTGAAATTATTTTCTTTGTAAAAAAATGTAATTTCCAGAAGAGTTGCATGAAATAAAAGCTCTGATATGTTTTCGTGTTGTACTATATGTTGCTCGGCATGATGTCTGACGTTTCGCTCCGCATGCTGGGAGCTTCTTCAGTTCCTCTTCCTGAAGAAGCTCGGAGCGCATGGAGCCAAACGTCGAACATCGTCACACAACACGCGGTAAAACCCAAAAATATTGGAGAGCGAACACCTTCGCAGTTGCTGAATTAATACAATCTTTAACAATTCCAGAAATTGTCTGATAGATTAAGTCTCAAAATCTGGAGGAAACATTTACATGTCGATTGTGGTAATCGCTTTATATATTTATTTTACATCCATTCATAAAATCGCCAAGTTCTTCATATTCCACAGATAAGTACTATTAATTGTTTTGCTTTAAATAATGCTGCTTTAAATTGAAAATGACCAGAGGTGTAAGAATAGTATATACCGTGCTGTTTAAATGTGCTGTGTTTGCAGGTGGGCACTCCTAATGCTTTATACCATTGGCAGTGCTCGACTGCTTACGGCAGGTGTTGAGTATACTTAAATAGCCAGTGAATCTGTCTGTGCAGTGCTTCTATGCCAGATCCTATATATACACATTTATATATTTAAGAAAATGACTGTTTGAAACTTACACTGTAGTCGGACTGTTCTGCAGGTGAATTTATAATAGTAATTTAAAAAAGGTGTGGTTTAAATGTTATTTTACAGCTTTAATGTGGAATTATAAAGGTGTAAAACTTTGGTGTTATGGTACACACACACATATTTGGTTGAATAATAATAGCCTTTATAGTTTTGTTGCATTGGCCTTAAACACCGGTTAGTTGTGTACATAGCAGGACAATGAAAGTTGCAATAAGGCACATTCGTACTTATGTTGTGGTTTCTAATTAACAGGTTTGAAAAGGAGTTGCTGTATTTTATGCATTGTTGTTGGTGCACCAAAACGGTAAATGGGGTTTTATTGAATGGTGTTTCCTTCGTAGTTGATGCACTCCGTTGTTAATTAGACTCTTAAATATCGTGACCACCTTTGTAATAATTTGTGTGGTTGTATTAAGGCACTGTACCACCTTATGCATACTCTTATCACTGTGTATGTAGGAAATACAGTGTAATGTGCTTAATAAAAAGAATTAAACGCAAATGATGTCGCTATATTTTTATACATATCGGTACGTACAGCAACAGGCTAATAGAAAATTATAGTTAATGTGAAGAACAGTTTTCTTGACGATCGCAAGGACATGTTTTCTATTCTCAAAGCACGTACCGAAAAGCAAATTATGATTTTGCTCTGGGCGTGAGATGCAAATTAGCAGGGGGACTTCTATCACAGCTCGACATTGGAGTCAATACACAAGCTTATCTGCTCCGGATTTGGAGGGCAGCATAGGGCAAAGAGTACATCTGTGCTGTGGAGATATGCTTCGCGTGCCAATACGGGTCTTATCGTTTTAGATACAGAGGCCATTACCCACCCTCCTCCCCGTCATCCTTCTAGAGGCCTCCAGAAAACACCACAGCACTAGGGGGCACTCATTGGTAGTACAGCCATCATGTCCAGCTATAAAGGGTGCTTAAAAATGTTAACACTTATATGGGACTATCGTTTTCAATGGAAAAAGAACGGATACTACACTGTAACATGATAAATGCATGTTAATGGTTTAAAAAAGTCTCCACTTGTTCGTCATCATTGTCAACACGTGCCTGGAATCTTCTCCAGGTGATCCTCCAGAGCCTGGAGGCACACATCTTGTGGTGTTGTTGAACGCGGAATTGTTCACATTTTTTTGAAGCACCCTGTATTTTAATTTAAAAATTTTTTTTACCTACGTGACTTTACCGAAAGAACCAAAGAGTATGGATTCCTGCAGTCACAAAAGCTTGAAATCAAGATTTACCCTGTACTTTGTTCACAATTACTTGGTCTGCGCCTGAACATTATAATCTGAAAGTTTAGAAACAGTTCGTTTTGCCAAGTCCTATTTATAAACCCAAAAAAAAATTGTTGAGTTTTAAAAAATAAGCTTACAATTATATATTCACATTTATCTATTTCGTTTATAAAAATAGGACTCGGCATTTCCAACTGTTCCTAAGCTTTCAGATATATTGTTCAGCCACACGCCAAGGAATTGTCAACAAAGTACAGGTGTAGATCTGTGAAAAAGAGCTTCATAGCTCATCGGATTCCTCCAGTATTCTGATATAGCTATTACATCCTTCTTAGTGCCTCCAATAGGGTATTTAAATATTGAAGCGAGTACGTATACACGTTATGTATTGCATTTTAGTGTTACTGTGCTATGCCTGTGATTTATTGAAATAATATAAATATGTTACGCAAGTTTTTTTTTTCTCCCTAAAGCTGCATAAAATAACATTTGACATGGCATCGGCACAGCCATACATGCATAATAAATACCAATAAATTATCTGCATATGTAAATAAGCAAGGTGAAATAAAACTTGAATGATATGTATCTATAGAATTTGACGGTAAAAATGAAACCATATTACATTAAACGAGAGGAAAGCATTGCACAACATTAATGAGATATAAACGTAACAAAATTGGCGACATTTCACATCCGGCAAAAGCGTACAATTTCGAGATGACACCTTAAACATGAATCTCAAAGCGTGTTTTCTCACACTGAAATAAAAAAAACACGAACTTTTGTTCATGGCTTTCAACTTTTTGGATTTTAGAGCAACACAAAAATCACCCGTTTCAAACAATACGCGTCGTTTTGACATCCTCCGGCACCACCGACTCATTGCACCGCTATCGCAGCAACGTGATGACAACGTGGTCGTCCCTTCCCTGCCACAGCATCTCGCCCTCGAAGTCCACCATGCCGTGCTTCCTCGCCCTCAGCAGGATGCCGACCACCTTGTCGGAGATGCGCACGTATCGGTCGAACAGCTCCCCGAAAGGCATGCGCACCCTGCCGTCGCGGCCCTGCACGCCCATGCCGTTGATGATGAAGCACATGTCCTCCATCTCGCGGCGGATGTGACGCTCGGCCCGCTTGGCCCTCTCCGCCGTGAGGGTCCCCTCCTTGGGGCGGCCGTACCCCTCCTCGCCCTTCTGCGGCCGCGTGGCCAGGGCGTGCTCCGCGTCGAAGCCGTCGCTGAAGGGGTTCAGCTTCTGCGTCTCCATGTGGTCTTCGGACCACTTGGCCCAGCCGCTCTGGAGGTCCTTCACGCGGCTGCAGCGCGACTTTTGCCTCCCGCCCTTTGCCCTGACGTCCGTCGCTCTGTCCGCGCCAGGTCTCGCTGACGACCGTTTGATGCCGATCGCCGGGGCTTCCGAGCCGCCGCTGCCGCCGCCGTGGTTCGTCGCCTCGACGGCTTCGCCGACGCTGCCTTCCCCCCGCGCCACGGCGAGAACGTCGCCGGCGTCGATGCTGCTGCTTCTGCCGGCCTCCAGAGAGCTCAAGCCACCGTCGCCGTCCTCCTTCTCCGCCTGACGCCACCCCGTCGACAGCTCCGAGACGAGGCCATTGCACCGCCGCCTCAGCGTGGGCGACATGCGGTCGCTCAGGAGGTAAAGTTTATCGTCCACCGCGCTGGGGGGCTGCTTCCCTTGGTTTTCCTCAGCCGACGGCTCGAAGCGGCTCTTCAGCATGCTGGTCATTTCCTTGCGTTGCTCTTTCACGCCCCGTGCATTGCCCCTTTCGCGAGCTCCAGTCCTGATGGACGTGTTCGCGTCGGGCACGAAATCGGGTCGAAGGTTTTTCAACGTTGGCATTGTGAATTCTTTCTTTGCGGCGTTTTCTGCGTCCACGGGCAGCTTCCTCGTAAAGGAACACCGTTCGCCATTGTCGCCATCATCGCCATCTTCGCATCCAGGCGTCCAGCCTGTGGGTTCATTCGATTGCTTACTTGTGTTCTCCTGAGCCCATTGCTGCCAGCCCTTCGTAAGGCTGTTCACCATGCTCACACACCTTATCTTCCGCACGATGTCTTTGGTGGTTCTTTTCAACGTTACCTGTAAAGATCAAAGATCGAGACGTTACCATGGTCAATCCGTTGATGCCACCACACCTCGCCTAAACGTTTGACCTCTGCCAGGGCCCACGGATGCTGCACAGTCTACACGCGATCTCCAATATCTGCCCTGAGAGTATTCCACTTTATTGTCTTTCCCTTGGTTTCCCGAACTTGTGTAGACCATTCCAATACCTATCCTGGCACACCGGCCTTGCTCAGCACAACACTATTTCCGTCATCATATCTGTATGTACTGTGTGTTGAACTTATTTCGCACTGTACACAGCCAACCGTGCTAATTGGAAGTGCATGGAAAGACAACAAACTATACACAACAAGCAGCTATAAATAAATTAGTTTCCAATCTAGTCTCCAAAACTTGCCTGCCATTTTCTGTTCCAGACTTCTGCATTGTTTATGCTGTCTTGCCACTATATTCATATCGCCCATTTCATAACCTTGTGCTCAAATGGGCCAATGGCTTTTTTTACCGATTAGTCCAGCTCACTGGTCTGCGCGGTAATACAGAGAGCGCGAATCTTGCCTCGAACTCAATTTTCTCTCAGACTAACCTGTGAAGAGCTCATCTTGTACCCCAGTAACGCTCGGCAGGGCTTTGGTGAGAAGGCTCATTCGTGTTTCGTTGAGCCCGCTTGAAAGCAGGGCAGGCAGCTGGATATACTATTTATCGCCACTCTGGTATGGCTGGAATCTCCAGTGGGAGACCGGTTGGCTTGTGTGTCACGTAAAGGCATGGAAAGTTAGAGGTCGTGTGACACGGTCATACACACGCATTGGCAGGTTGTGTTTTTGCATATGTTGTCAAATCTTTTGCAGACAAGGCAAGTTATATCTAGAGATCACATTATTCTTATTACAAAAAAAATATCTTCCAAATATTGTTTGCTCTTCCTGGATATGTTTTATTTATTTAATGCATTACAGCCATCCCAAGGTTATCAGACAAATCAACAAAGCTTGAGTTAAAATAAGAATCCACTTTAAAAAACAGAGTATTTATAGTGGTGTGCTGAGTCGAGGACATCTTTGATACTTAGAAATGTTTGTGACGTCGGAGATTGTGAAAAACATTGGATAATATTTGAGGATTGATGATGGTGGCCGTGAACATCGGTCTATTTTTAGACTGACCATGCCCTTAAAGTGGTTTCAACCCAATGAATAACCGAGTGCCATCTTCATAACACATCCACCAATACTACTGTACTGCATACGTTGCTGCAATCTGAAAGGCTTCTATATTTTTGTAATAATTTCTTTTTTCAAAAGTTCAGCGCTGCGATTTGCCTGCCCACGCCACTGCTGGTGGAATGGCCTCCACTCGAGGGAGCTCTGTAGAGGCCCTCTGGAGGGTATTTTGGCTTTCTCTTCCACACTGGCCAAGATGTTATGTATGTGTGTTGAACTTATTTCGCACTGTATGTAACCAACCGTGTTAATCGGTGTGGGGGAAGGACAACAACCTAGACGCAAAACGCTGTTATATATTAAAAAAAGAGTTTAAAATCGAGATTTAAAATTGAATAGCTCCAGTGGCTTCCTAATATCGGAAGAGGTGGGAGTACCCACACTTTACCGCAGCACACGTGACCTGGAGATCAGAGGTCAGGAGATTTTATTTTCACCTACGTGACTTTACCCAATAGAACCAAAGAGTATGGATCCTAGCAGTCACGAAAGCTTTAAATCTAAAATTGCCAATTGTTTTAACTGCCACGCCGGGAGATCAAACCGGCGACCTCGAGATCACAAGTTCAGTGTGCTAACCATTACACCACAGCCGCATTTAATTTTGTTTTTCGATCCCTGAAATGAAATTGGGAAATAAGAAACTTGCTATAGTAAGCACAACAGAATAAGACCAATGAATTCCATTAGGTGCCCATGGCTCCTAATTATCCGGAATACATTTCTTCATCTGCGAGGACCTTAATTGCTCGGCAGAAACACAATATTGGTCAGCTTGCCTTCATGTCGTTTGCTTGTTATAAATTGCAGTGAATTCATTCCGTGCTGTTCGCAGGATACCAGTTGTCGGCATTGCAAATGCAACAATACTCCTCTGCGAATCGATCATGTGTAAAATTACATCGAATTCTGCATTGGATAACAACCATTTAAACAAGCACACCGTTTGCAATACTAGATCTCATCTGCCTTGCTTACACCAATTTGCCACGCTTGCTTACACTGCACTGCGGAAAAACAAATACAGTGCGAATCTAAATCTTGACTTAAAGCTTTCGTGACTGCAGGAATGTATATCCTTGGGTCTTTCGGTAAAGTCAAAGAACCTATCTACGTGACTTTATTTTTTGTTATTTTCTTTGAACCTATCTACGTGACTTTACCGAAAGACCCAAGAATATAGTGCGAATTTATTTTAACTTACTTCATCTGGGCATTCCCCCTTTTGATGGACTATTGCATAAAGAAAAAAGAACAAAGAAATGACCAAGCTACATGATTCGTCAACAATGAGTTAGTGCTTATATGATCTCCACGTTATTGGACCATAAATCACCGCGTTGATCAGTGTGGATTAGTGAAGGGTATGGAGGACCACTTCAGATATTACTCATCAGCGACTTTATCCATGACCGGGAGTAAAACGTGGGTTGCCCGGTTTATTTTCCGGTTTATTTATCTCTGTTCCATTACAATTACACGCTTCTAACTATTTTTTTAACGCACTACGATTTGTTTTCTTCATTTTAACAGATAAGGCTCACTGAGCTATCTAACTCTTTTTGTCAGTGGCAACCTGGTCACAAATGATATCTCGGCCAATTGGCTTATCATGCGAAAATGTATAGCAGCCAATACTCTGGACGCGTGATGTTGATTCTAAATGTGGACAGAAAAAACAGAGGACCCGGAGAAAAAATACACGAGACCACGGTGAGAGAGAGACACGCAAACTCCAAATATACAGCAGGCGTCAGGGTCGAGCTCGAACCCACGACCTCCTGTATACAAGGCGAGGTAGTTAACATCTCCTAGCCACCGTGATGATGATGAGAGAGAGACACGCAAACTCCAAATATACAGCAGGCGTCAGGGTCGGGCTTGAACCCATGACCTCCTGTATACAAGGCGAGGTAGTTAACATCTCCTAGCCACCGTGATGATGATGAGAGAGAGACACGCAAACTCCAAATATACAGCAGCAGGCATCAGGGTCGGGCTCGAACCCACGACCTCCTGTATACAAGGCGAGGTAGTTAACATCTCCTAGCCACCGCAGTGCCCCTGCGGCACTTCGACTATTCCACTACCCACTGGTAAGGTTTTGTTGCTCTTGATTCCAACACACGCTGAGGGGGTGGGGGGAGTGGTGTTTCGGTTCATATTGAAGGATGGGAATTCTGACCAATTGGCTGCCAAGTGATTTTTAGAGTTTTGTGTTGAATCGAGGTGGTTCACTTTGCTCCCCTGTTGCTGAAGGTTTTTTGAAAAGTAATTTCTTTCGAACTGCTTTTTGCGTTTAGTTTTTTGTCATTCCCCCACGCATACCTCCGATTAGCATCGTTGGCTATGTACGGTGCGGAAGAAGTTCAACATACGTACGTGCGTACAGGGTCGTTTTGAAACTCTTGCTGACAGTTTTAATTATAAGAATGAGTACATTTAGAAATCGCAGTTCTCGAGTGCCAACTGGTGGGTACAATGCAAGTACACAGGCATTTGGAAGGGGCACTTTGTACAAACACACGAGCGTATCCCAAATTTGCCTCGCTTGTATCGCCGTGTGGGCAGTGACCGGCAGTGCGGAGCCGATGATCGGGAAGTCAGCGGACACCGTCGCGCGTGGTCACGTGCGTCAGTGGAGGACACCATGGTGGTGATCCAAGGGACAATCCCATTGACACAATTTTGTGGGAAGCAGGATGGGCACATCGGTGACGCGCCTCACGACAAGAAGGACCCGGGTTCGATCCACAACTCGGCTGACACGGGTTTCCTCCAGGTTATTCGGTTTCCTCCTCCAGCTAAAAATAAACATACAGTGTAACTGATATTGGCGAAAACACCCCAATGGCGGAAAATTACCTGCAAATAACTCGGTTGAGATGACGCATACTGACAACAGTGGCCCCTATTGTGAAAACATGGCTGAAACCCCCTTAAAAGGAGCCGAGACTCAGGATTTCGTGGGTGAACAAGTTTAGTAATATTAATAATATCCTGCTCTGGTTGACACATCTTCTCTGGACAGGATGGCACCCTCTCGTGTGTTATGAGGCCACCAATGATGCTCACTGTTTCTTTGAGACCATTGACTTTCAGTTGACATCAACATTATTTTGTGGTGGAGTGTTTTTCAATGTCATCCAAATTGGGCAATATTCTTTACATCCATTGCCAAAGGAGGAGTATGTCTTTTAAGCATTGATGGACTTGAGAATATAATCCTGGGTGCATGCATGTCGAACTTGTTTCGCACTATACATAGTCAACTGTGCTAATCAGAGGTGCCGTGGGAAGGACAACAAACTAAACACAAAAAGCCGTTCGAAAAAAAAATTCAATCTACATTTTAAAGTGCATTGCTCCAGTGGCTTCCTAATATTGGAAGGAAGAGCGTTCCAGACGTCCTCAGAAACGCAGGGTTGAGGAATCATAAGGTATTGACTGCAACTTAATATTTCATTACGATTGAAATCAACGGCTCTATGAGCTTGGGGAGAACATAGGGCATCATATGTAATGACTTCTACATTCTGTCTTGCAGTGGCTGAGCATTATTAAAATTTAGTTTTATTGGTCACAGGACTTGATCAATTTTCAATTACAGGCCAATATGACAGAGGAATGAGGCGGATATCTGCAGTGAAAAAGAGGACAATGTCAACCACCGAAGCTGTCATCAAAACCGCACATGCCTCAGTTAATGTCAATGATCATGTGCTCATTGACAGCTGCAATGAGGTTGCACAAAGGTGATCTTTTTCTGAAGACAAAAAATATTCTTTTTAACGGCGCACATTCATAACTTTTGATTAACCATTTGTCATCCCAATTTAGTTTTTAATAAGTGAGTGCTGCCTACTCTGACCTATGGATCAGAAATCTTCCTACTGACAAACAAAATGGAACTGAAAGCTACACTGGCGGAGCCAGTGGGGGGGGGGCACGTGCCTCCCCAATGATCCGATAAAAATCCCAACTTTCGATCGGATCATTGGGGTTTATTAGTAATAAATCGGCATTTTGCGACCCCCACTGCCACTGTGTAGCATATTATTACGTGCCAGGGACTGTTTGAGATGATAGGATAAGAGACCGAGTCCATAATTGGCAATAAGTATCGGCAAAGCAGTTATAAGTGACTCAGAATTGTGCACAGTTGCGTAAACAGTCCACGACTTCCCTGAAGACATTCACCTTCAGCGAGCGCGATGCCGATCACACAACACGGTTCGAATTCGACCCTCGATCGATGGCTGTGCCATCGCCGCACACGCGTCGAATAAAAAGCAAGAGACAACTCCTTACTTACTAACAACTCCTTACTTACTAACAACTCCTTACTTACTAACAACTCCTTACTTACTAACAACTCCTTACTTACTAACAACTCCTATCATTTTTCATTGCTGGAGGGGTTCCCCCCCTTACCTGGAAATCCTGGCTCTGCCATTGGCAAGCTGTATTCGTGAAGATGCACAAGTTAGGGACAAGAATATGACTCACCACGTAGGGT